TAGTGGTGGATAATAGGAACCAGGGGTCACAATGTCTACAACACAAATACAGCCATTTTATTTACTATCCAAAACCAACCTATGTCTTCTGAGTTTTATATGTAATGTTGATGATGGTAAAAAGTGGTAAATCTGACAAAACAACTATTTTGGGGACTATTTTGCCTCACAAGACCCTAAAATTTAGACCAAAACTTTATCTCAAAGCTATGATATAACAATGTATAAGGTGGGGTCTGAATTGTGGCAGAGGTCTTTAAGGATCTTCTGCTGGCTGTAAGGTGGCCCATATTGTATATTTATTTATTTTAACTATATATTTTTATTTACCCCTGTATTTTTTACAAGTATTACTAGGCAGGATGTTTAACAGCTTTATATCTGTATCGATATAAATGATTATTACACTTAGATACTGATGAGAAGACATAGCAAGCTGTCTAATAACCTCGTAAATCATGCAACATATGTGAACATATGACGTATGTCATGGCTGCTAACAGCATTGATTTCTCTGTCTTTATGGCTGATAGACTGTACGTATATGTTATGAATTCATACTGGGCGAGCTTACAGTTCATCTGTGGGGAGGAATCTAACACTGAACATGAAGAAAACGATGGTCATCCCATGTGAGGGCATTCATTTTGTTCGAAAACTCTCATTATTTTCCATGAAATAACCAAGTTTTATGGGGCGTCCCTTTACTCTCATGAGATGTCCAGGACCTAGCCCTGCTCAATCTGAACCCTGTTCTCAGGCATCGGCTGGTGTATTCATAATCATATCATGTGGCAGCTTCCTGTCAGGCAGCTTTTAGAAGCACTAAACACAATTCTGACCCAGTAAGCTTCTCTACAGACCCCTCTGAATGACTGAAGTGCAGAAATCTAGAAAAGCTGGTGGAATTCCCCTGTAGCCCGTAGGTCTGTAAAACCATCCAAAGGTGTCTTACTTTCTCCCCCACTGCTTTATCAGCCCCAGCATGCTGTGGGGGATCTATTGACACAGATGCAGCATGGGATATGGAGTCAGCTGGGTGCCTCCGTTCTTCTTTTACTGTTTAAACACTAGTGAGCAGGACTGCGCTGGGGTCAGAGAAAAGCATGGACCCTCCGAGGCTGCTGTTTTTTCTCAGCATGCCAGAGCAATGCTAATGATTAAAGTGGAAGGTTAGCAAAAACTGTAATTTACATGGTTTTCCCTCAGAAACCTGCTGTAGTCAGGCAGCGAGTATGTGTGGTGTTTGAAGTTTGCTTCTTGGATTCATACTGGAGCTATGAGGCTAACAAGTAATGGAAGCTTACAGCCCACCAAAGAGCATCATACACACCTAAATCATCACACACTTACGTCAAACCATGTTGAGTAATCTGTAATAGACTTGTTTATGTGGTTTCTGACACTGTGTGACACAGTGTTACCTATAAAAATAGATGGTGCTTGATTTGCATGCTTAAGAATGAAATTCCATTTTTTCCCTCTTTTTTCATGTTGAGTTCTCAGAGATCTCAGATTTGGTTGTGTTCTGACACTGTATTACACACTGGTATCTATAAGGCCCAATCCCATTTCTTATTTTTACCACTGCCCCTTGTTTTCCAGTGTCACCTTCCCCTTGGCATTGAGTTACAAGAGGTAGTGGTTGAAATCTTCCCCTACGAAATGGAACAACCCTAAGATAAAAAGAACTTTACTTCATTAAAAGGCTACTGGCGGTGCTCTGTAGGCGACCCTGCCAGAGGAGGGTAAAGTTTAGCAACCTCGCTGCTGGGCTTTAATTTAGGGGATCATATGCCTTCAAAGGAGGGGGATACAACAATTATTTATACCCCTAATTCTTCGGTGATATGAAGCTGAAGTCAGATATTCGCCAGCTTCTTGTTCAAATTTTCCCGTTCCACCTTAAATGGTACAGCAGTTCTGACGCCTGAAGCGCCGGAATGTAACTGCTGCATCATTTAAGGCGGAAGAGGAAATTTAGCTAGCTAGCTACTGAGACATCAGCAAACTACTAACAATTTTTATGCTTGTTATGAAGAAAAAGACCATAATATACTGAAAGGACTGAAAAAACATTGTGTTTCTGTTTATTCCTAATGGTTATGTAACATGTTTTGGCCTTTTTAATGGGTTGATATCACGATGTAAAGGATCCTAATGGTTCAACAGGTGACCAGAGGCTGATTCTAAATGCATTTGATGGTTTCCTAATGGGATCTAAAGGTTTTCTGCAGGAAACTAGTGGTCTGCCCTTAAGCCAATTCCGATTACAAAGCAGAACCATTAGGTTTTAATCCTTTGGTTCTTTTTCAGCAGGGTACATTTATGGAAAGGGGCAAAATTGCAAATATTAGACTTATCTGATGAAGTCATTGCAGAATTATGACTTGTGTTCTTATTAAGTTCGTTGCCTCTGGTGTTGGTGTTATGAAAACTTATAATGGAAAACAGCATCTGTTTCAGGTCTCTCGCTGTCTCTCTCTCTCTGTCTCTCTCTCTCTCTCTCTGTCTCTCTCTCTGTCTCTCTCTCTCTCTCTGTCTGTATGTCTATCTGTCTCTGTATTTTGGAGGTAATGGAAGGAATTTTGTATTAAATGCAATACAATCTGCTTCACATGGTGACATCACACGCTCCTGTTCTCACAACAGCCCCAAGCTTTCTCTCTCTCTCTCTCTCTCTCTCTCTTTTCCATATCCTGTTCACTTAGATTCAGATTTTTAAATCTCATTACTATAATGAAGAAATCTCATTTGCTTGTAACAAAACTCTGCTAAATATATCCTCAAAATAATTCAATAATGACGCTGTGATATTCTGATATTTGCTCAGTGTTTATTTGCCCAGAAAACACTAATATTACAGTAAATACAAATAACATTAATATAATAATGTCATTTTATGTATGACGGTGTGTTTGTTAACCGTTTTCAAACCTCTCCTTATAACATACGATATGAGCTGCAGTTATTCTCCCACATCTAGTTTAGTGCTTCATTATGTTACATCAAAACAGCTGTAGTAATTCCATATGATGGCTGAGGTCATCCAGGAGAAATCTAGAACCGAACTTTGTTTGTCAAACTAGCTCACATGATAACAACTACATTTTTGAAAACAGGACTTTCTTCTTACTTTTCACTGCATTTATTTTCATTTACATTTAATCTAATGATATATGAAGTGTTTACAAGCACGAATGGACACAGCCAGTTGCAATAAGACCAATAGTATATGAATCATTCTACCAACTAGATTTAGAGTCAGGGTTGAAAACACATTTCAGACTTTAGACTAAAGTCATTTTGCTTTGAGTGACTCTGTACCTTAATTATGTTTATTTTATTCAAATGAAAGATTGAACATTACATTTTATCACTACCAAAACAATCATGACAATACTGAAACTTTACCAAATGTTTCAGTAGTGACTGTTTCGGTTGGGACAATTTTAGTTCATTTTGAGGAGAACTCAAAAACACTAGCCAGAACATGACATGTTAACATAAATTTGTTTTACACCATAAAATTATAATATTTTTCAGCAAAACACAAAAAAATACTTAATTGAAAAGAATGTGTTTCTGTAGTGACAAAGTGAACTTTTAATATAAGTGAATCTCTAAATCATAAAAGATCTTTAAAAAACACAGAAAAAATGTAAGCATTATTTTCACAAGTGTAAATTTAGGCCATCTAACTGACCATTGGTTTATCAGTCTACTCAGGCTTTAGCAGAGCTCAATAACACTGAGATTAATAACTGATCATCACATTGATTTATCAGTCTACTCAGGCTTTAGCAGAGCTCAGTAACACTGAGATTAATAACTGATCATCACATTGATTTATCAGTCTACTCAGGCTTTAGCAGAGCTCAGTAACACTGAGGTTAATAACTGATCATCACATTGATTTATCAGTCTACTCAGGCTTTAGCAGAGCTCAGTAACACTGAGGTTAATAACTGATCACATTGATTTTTCAGTCAGGCTTTGGCAACTTCCGTGTTTGAAACAAGGCCGTTATTTAGGTCCTCTTTAGAATTGATCTAATAAGCATGTTTGCTCTATGTTGTGCACCGGTTCTAAAAAGTTCATAGACAAGCATTGATTGTATTTCTTTTAAAGATTGTATTTTTTTGATTAAGTTTGTAAGTATTATACAATAATTATCCTAAAATGCCAAAAGTAACTGCATTCTGAATACCACTGTTTCAAAATGTAACTTGGACTGAATACAGATACTTCATTTTTGTATTTTGAATACATATTCCTAATACTTGTATTTCTTTACATCCCAGCCCTGGGGGCAGACACCTCCTAATAAAAAGTACCCTGTAAATTATGTTTTATACATTTAGCTTATTACTATCTCAGTTAATCGTTTTAGTTGAAATAGATCATAACATAGTCCTTGAAAAAATAACGAAAGTCTGGATGCTTAATAGTATTTTTTAATTTTAAGGTTTTTTTTCACACTGTGGCACTGCAGTTTGAGCTAATTTGGTAGAATGTTCCATATATATATATATATATATATATATATATATACATACATATATATATATATGCAAAAGTTTGAGCACTTGTGGTCAAATGATATGTTTAGTTGATTTTCTAAATGAAAATGTACAGAAAACGCACTTCTGCTCATTTTAATGCACAGTTTCTACATTTCTGTTTATTTGCTGAGTTTAACATATTTGAAAAAATAAAGCAAAATATAAAATAAATTTTGCACATGCTGTTTTTTAAATAATCATTGTATTTTTGTGTATTATTAAATGTGCAGACGTTTGTTCCAGTATTTTCCAATATATTGGATACTTGTGCACTAAAATTTCCATAAAAATGTCACATTTTGTACTGTGAAAACTAACAAAACATGTCACTTGACCGGGGGTCTTCAAAGTTTTACCACTGTAAGTGCTTGACTGATAATGTAACCCTCTCTCTCTCTCTTAATAAAGTAAGCTCTCTCTGCCTGTCCCCTGTAGTGCGCATCAACGGCACTAAAGAAGGCCCGAGCTGTATGGATAAGAACCACGGCTGTGCTCATATCTGCAGAGAGGCTCCTAAAGGAATCGCCTGCGAGTGCAGACCAGGCTTCCAGCTCACCAAGAACAACCGAGACTGCAAACGTGAGTCCAGCCGTTCCTCCACAATACACAGCACCACATTCCTCACCACGGATAATTCCACACTGTTATTATGACTATTAGAGCCAAGCACTGATACTATAAATCTGTACCACAGAAAATATGGAGCACAGCGTATAAATACTGCAGGTTAATATCCCTCTACTCCACGAGAGCTAGTGGAATATGTTTTAAACAGTAGGAGAGAAAGAGAGCGGGGCAGAGAGGTGAATAAAGAAACAGAAAGACAGAGGTGAGCTGTGTGTTTAAAAGGTGTTGTATTACTAGCACACGATCAATTCAGAGATTTTTAATACTGATACTAATTTTTAAGCAGTGAAAAATCTTGCAAAAATCTGACTGTAATTTAATGGTGAAAACTCACAGACTTCAATAGTTTTACCTAAAATCAACCTGACATAGTTTTTCTTTACCTTGTTAGTTCATGTCTCTGGTCATATTCGGTGCACTTACCATATCAGTGTATATTGTTTAAAAGACAACATGCTTTTCTGTAAGCTTTGGTCAAAATATTTTAATTTTGCCCACATTTCTGCAATTCGTATATAGTATATAAATTTGCCCACCTTTAAAAATATTTAATTACTTCATCGTGCACCAGTGAACGGGGAAAATTAATATTAGTATTAAGTGACCCTTATTAGTCCCACAACGGGGAAATTTCACCTTCGCATTTTAACCCATTCGTGCAGTGAAACACCACATACACACTAGTGACTGCACACACACAGGGGGTAGTGAGCACACTTGCCCGGAGCGGTGGGCAGCCCTATCCGCAGTGGCCGGGGAGCAGGTGGGGGTTAGGTGCCTTGCTCACGGGCACTTCAGTCACATACTGTCGGCTCAGGAGATCAAACCGGCGACCTTTCGGCCACAGCATTAGTATTGATACCATCACTGATACCACCTCCACTTATCAGTGTTTCTCTTAGCATAAAATATCCTTACTGTCAGGCTTATATTTGCTTCTTGTCGTTGGGTTTTTATGTGGCATGTGCTCATGTTTTGGCTGAAGTAAAACTCTCAGTCTGTTTTCAAATGTAAATTCAGATCCCAATTCCAGCACAGACTGCTGTAGCTCCAGCATCTGGTCACAGAATTTCTTTTCTCCTTAAAAAAATAATGGTTTTCTGCAAACTGAAACATTTGGGATTTTTCTATGAAACATGTTGTACTCCTGGTTAGGGACTAATAAAAGATGTGAAACATAAGCGTAACATTTCATCTTTGCTGCTTTATCGATGAGTAACATGTTTGCAGACTTAAGTAAATAATTTCCTATAGGATACTTCAAATCCTAGCAGATCTATTTGGACTTTCATGTAGGCTTGACAATCCAGGATTTCATCTTGGTTGAGGGAACTGTTAACACTGTTAACTCTTAGTTCTTAAACATTACCATGGAAATATATCGCTGCTATCGAAAGAAAACCTCATCTCCATTTTTGTAGTTTTTTAGTTTTTAACAGAATTTGAAAATACCTGTTGGCCTTTACATTGTGTATAAATTTCATGATAAATGGACCAAAAGAAATAGCCCAAAATTGGTTGGAAAGAAGTCTGGTCCCATTGACTTACATTAAAAGTAAAGATGTTTTTTTCCATCTCCTGTAAAGTTATAATTTTGGAGTCATGAGTTTTTCTTCCGACAGCAGTGATATGCAAATTGTTCTTTTGGCCCAGAATGAACTGTAAAGCATTCAGTCACACATGAATTCTTTGGATATAAATTAACTTATTATAAATTAACTCCTAGTCAATCACAGCTGCTTTTGTTCATTGTGCACAAACTTGTGTGTAAAACTTGGCGTGTTTACATGGGTATTGTGTTCACTATGCAGTGATGCTGCTGCAGACCCACACACGCTTTGATGACACTACATGCGCATGACTTAGTAGCTTCAAAGGAGCTAAAGGAAATACTGCCTGTCATCGAGCAGAAACGCTTAACTAGATACAGTGATGCCATATTTCTCTTGGAAAGACGTAACAGTATGAAGGAAAATGCATTGTGATTTCCCATTCATGTTGACTTTAAATCTTCTACAGGAAGGAACTCAAATTTGGAATTTTTCGGCACAATTTATATTTATTTGCTGAGTTTTACATACTGGAAAAAATAAAACATATATAAAAAATAAAACATATAACAAATATAAGGTGCCAAAACTTTTGCACAGGCCACATTTTATGCTTTCCTTTTTCCAAAATGTTAAATTCAGCAAATAAACAGTTATTGTGTATTAAAATATGCAGAGGTTTGTTCTCTGTAGAGAATGTGTTCACTTATTTTCAGCACAACGTGTCATTTGACCAGTAGAGCCCAAACCTTTGCATATGACAGTAAATCTGTATTGCTGAAAATCCTCAGTACAGTAAATAAAATATAAATACACCACAAAAGCCACATTAACCACATACACTTCACATAGTAATCTTAGTGCTTATTGCTCAGTAACTACTATAAATGATTCAGTCACAGCTATGAAACTTATATACGTTTAAACAAACAGTCCTCGTCAGATGCAGATGTGGATCGGATCTCTGGCCTTCAGCCTTTATAAATACTCCAAAAGAGCTAGATTCAATATTTTTGAAACAGGGAGAGAGAAAGACAGAGAAAAGGAGAAGGAGTAGAAAAGAGAAGTGAGAGGTCAAAAGGAACAGGTGGGTTATTTGTTTAAAAGGTACTTTTTGTCTCCTCTTTTTCACACTTGCTCATAAACAACAGCAAGAAAGAACAGACTGATAGGTGCAGCCTAAGCAGTGTTATGCATGTGTCTCTCTCTCTCACTCTGTTATCGGCTGCCTGCTCCAGTCGACACACTTTTCATTCATACATCTTAAAAAATAATTAATATAAAGAATGTATTTTTACGCCAGTTGTTTAGCACAGTAAAATATGTTGGCCATGGTTTAAATGATGACTTTTTTGTGAACCTTTGCCCACCTTTGGCTTTCTCAGTGACGTGTAACTATGGTAATGGGGGCTGTCAGCACATCTGTGAGGAAGGGGACCCTGCACCGCGCTGCTCCTGCCACATGAAGTTCGTACTGCACTCCGATGGCAAGACGTGTGTGGGTGAGTCAGCGATGTCTCCTCTCCTTGAGTGCTAGCCAACTGTACCTGGCCAAGTAAGACCCAGTTCTGGTTCCTCCCCTGATCCTGCCTGGCCAGGTAAGACCCAGTTCTTGCTCCTTCCTTAACTTTCTTCTGGCCAGGTAAGACTCAGTCCTGGCTCACAGCCTTGATCCTATCTGGTCAGTTAAGGCCCAGTCCTAGCTTGACTCTACCTGGCCAGGTAAGAGCCATTTCTGGCTCCTTTCTTGATCTGTCCTGGCCAGGTCAGATCAAAGGAGGAGCATGAACTGGGTCTAACCTGACCAGGTAGGATGAGGCCCAGTTCTAGATTGACCCCCTGACTCAACCTTGTCTGGAAAGACCCAATTTTGGCTCCTCCCCCTGATCCTACCTGGCCAGGTGAGACCCAGTTCTGGCTCCTGACTTGATCCTACCTGGTCAAGTAAAGCCCAGTTCTAGCTTGTCCCCTGACGCTTCCTGGCCAGGTAAGAGCCAGTTCTGGCTCCTCCCTTGATCTGACCTGACCAAGTGGGATCCAGGGAGTGGCAAAAACTGGGTCTTCGGCAGTTCTGGATTGTCCACCTGACACAACCTGGTCAGGAAAGACCTAGCTCTGGCTCATCCCCCTGATCCTACCTGGCCAGATAAGACCTAGTTCTTGCTCCTCCCCCAGACTCTACCTGGCCAGGTTAGACCCAGTTCTGGCTCCTGCCTTGATCCTACCTGGCCAGGTAAGACCCAGTTCTGGTTCCTTTCTTGATCCTACCTGGCCAGGTGAGACCCAGTTCTGGTTCCCTCCTTGATCCTACCTGGCCAGGTGAGACCCAGTTCTGGTTCCCCACTTGATCCCCAGTATCCACATTATAGACCGACTATGTTGGGTTATTTAGTATATAAGGTCTAAATACATATATAGATATAAATATAGCATTCAAGCTTTACTATATGTCTTACCTCAGGATTAACAAGACTGTTGCGACTTTTCACACTTACAGAATATTTAAGGAAGAACCTGAAATAAACCATATAGTGGGTGATTCACCATTAAACATCTCTTTTAGTCCAAGACTAGGCTTAATCCCTGTCTGGATTGTCTGATTATGGCTGATCTTAAACCCAGTGCTAAGCTGAAATAAAGATTCACTTATAAAGCGACAGTGCAGAGTGCTTCAGAGGTATTTAGCTGCTGTGGTTGCCCTTTGGGAAAAGGGAAAAAGCTCATGTATGACAGCATCTAAAGCATTCAAAATAGTTAAAAGGCCTTTATTTATTAGAGTCATAAACAGTGCTGGCAGTCCTACTTGCCTGAGCGTTTGGAAAATTCAGTTAAGCCTAGCATTTTTACAAAATACATCTAATAATGCTGCTGTAGCACCAGCGACCATCTTCAAATCTAGTTGCTTATTTTAAGATATGAAGGCAAAAACTGACCATAGTTTAGCACTCAGTTTTAGTGACCCTTTGACCGGGCTTGTTCTGCACAGCCGCTTAAACTGTTTCACAATGCGCTCATTGTCCTGTAGCTACGCTTCATTTCTGTCCATACGTCCCAGCCGCCATTAGCGCACTCGTGAAGGAGAATTTAGCGCGATCGAGGGAGCTGTAAAGCAAAAGCTGACTGCACAATCACTTACTCACCAGATATGAGTTTGATGTACCTGACGGTATATCAAACGTTCGCGCTGAAGCTCAGTGTGCCTCTGCCTTCTCTAACTTGGTGTGGTGGTCCTCACTCAGCGTGAAGCTTTCCTTCTCCATCCCGCTAGTTTGATTTGCTGTGTGTACATGCTTCTTCTTCACTTTCCTGCCCTGCCTTCCTTCTGTTCACCTCCTGAAGCTGGTATGGGATTGGAGCCCAGAGGTGCGAGTAGCGTTGGTTAGCTGTGTAGCTAATTCTAATGTTTTTAGCGTATATGCTAGCAGAATTAGTGTTTTTTGCTTATATTTTCACTCTTAAGAACAAACATGGCTTAGCTGGACTCTACACATGATTCTGTTCAACTGTGGACAACAGTGTAGTGGATCGTATCGGCTGTACAACCAGTGTTAGCTTCTTAGTAATCATTGCTAGCAAGATAGCTAATTAGTCAGTTTGGCCACTTTAGGCTTTAGTTGCATACAATGAACAAGAGGAGGCAATTCAACTGTTTATTGCAGTTATTTATATGATAGTTATTCGTTATTGAAAATTGAATGATCATAACAGGCCTAGTCTGCTGTTTTACGTCCACTGTGCTTGTAATGCTACATTGAGAACTTTAGGTTTAGTGAGTCAGGGCAGTCTTGTTTACTTTGTAAGCAGTTCATCATTGTCATATCAAAACCTCCCAACACCATTTTTCTTTTTTTCTTTTTTATGCTGTTTGAAAGCGCCAGCTGACTCTTTACATTGTGAGAGCGTTTCTTGATGAATGGACCAATAAAAATGGTGCAAGATCTTCTTACATTAGTGTATATTAAAGTTACTTCTGTTGTAAAGTTATCATTTCTGATATACTAGATTTTTGCTTTGACAACTAAGGATTTTTGTCAAAAGCTCAATTTTCCCCTAATCCCAAATAGTCCATCAGTCAGTAGTCCATCAATCGAGGCATGTTTGTGTGGAAGTCCAGAGAGGCCCTGAGGTAGTTATGATTTTCTGGATCTCAAGATTAACAACTTTATCTACATACAACTTTGTTATCTTAAGACCACAAGATAATTAAGTTGTGATCTCAAGATAACAAAGTTGTATGTAGATAAAGTTGTTAATCTTGAGATCACATCATAACTAAGTTGTGATCTCGAGATAACAACTTAACCGTCTTGTGACCTCAAGACAATGAAGTTGTTGTCTTGAGATCATGACCTAATTATCATTTGATCTTAAGATAACGAAGTTGTTATCTTGAGATCGTGACCTAATTATCTTGTGATCTCACAATAACAAAAGTTGTTATTACAGCATAACTAAATTGTAGATAACAACTTAACCGTCTTGTGATCTCAATATAATGAAGTTATCTTGAGATCATGACCTAATTATGATTTGATCTCAAGATAACAGAAGTTGTTACTGTGAGATCACATCATCATTAATATCTTGTGATCTCAAAAAAAAAATTGTTATCTTGAGATCTTAACTTAATTATCTTGTGATTTCGAGAACAGAAATTGTTATCTTGAGATCAAAACACAATTAAGTCGTGATCTCAAGATAACAACCCTTAAAATTACAGCCAAAGCTCATGGCTTCTCCAGACTGTATATATGTTTGTGTCATTAGTGTTGCACTTTAGTTTAGGCGACTGTAGGTAACTAGAAATGAAATCCTAGCTCATACACCGCCACTTAGCATTGTGCTAACAGCACACATTCACCTCAAACAGATTCGCTTTGGTGGTTTCTGACACTGTGTGAAACACTGTTATCTATAAAATTAGACAGGAGCTCCAGAGTGTTGGCTCTGTCGTCAGGAGATTGACGACGATGCCACAGCCATCCGTGAGTATATTCGGAGTAAAAGAGTGTAACTGGCTTTGTGCTCTCTGGGTGGGTGGAATGGTCCTATCTGTCCCCCATAACTCAGTGTGATGCCACCACATGAGTGTAACAACAGAATTAGCAGTTAGCATTATCCTCAAAGCATGCTGAGCTGTAATTGACGTGGTGCTTCATGTGACTTGGATGAAGCACATGCTAGTCTTCACCCTCCCAGTATGGCAGCATCATGTGATAGGAGGAGACCAGGCTAGCGGACATGACTGAATTATGGAGAAAATTAAATAAAAACAGAAGTAGCAGAAATACTGAAGCCTGAATTTTGCTTGTACTTTTGTCCAATTTATCCAAAGACATGAGACGTGTGGCCTGATTGGCTACATTTGGGAGAAACTATGGATGACACAAAAGTGTGTATTTGAAGTTTATACTTTATTTAACCCACCCCATCTATACAGACACAGTGGTTTGGCTGGCCTCTGTCAAATTTCCTCTCCCTCTCTCTCTCTCTCTCTCTCTCTCTCTCTCTCTCTCTCTCTGGCTCTGAGACTCGATCCCGTCACCCTGTCATTAGACCAACGCTCACTCTAACCTTCAGCTGCTCCACAAATGAGACGTCTGGCTTGTCCGAGGACGCAGCCGAAGCCCACCGCAGAGGCCAGAGCCTCGCTCAGTCACGCTCTCTTCACCTCCGCTGCAGAGCTTTGGGTGACCAGTTGTTTTTATTGTCTTTCAAACATAGAGACTCAGCACACAGTCCAAACCCTGCTACACTTACAGAAACACGGCAAAAACGAAGTTGCAGATATAGGGTTAAATAACAGGTAATGAGTGAAAAGAAAAGGACAAACCAAATAATAATAATAATAATAATAATAATAATAATAATAATGATAATAAATCACCACCATAAATTCTTTCTCCAAACTTGGTGTCTCCATGGTGGAATAGAAGATAGCATAAGAGAAGAGAGAGAGAGAGAGTAAATGAAAGAATGAATGAAAGAAAGACAGAATCTGAGCGTGTGGGGGCTCTCTCAGTCTCTCTTTTCTCTCTCTCTCTCTTTCTTGCTCTTTTTCTCTTCCTTGTCTCTCTGTTTCTCTCGTTCTGCTGCTGTGTATCTTTTCACTCTCCCTCCTTCTTTCTCCATCTCATTCTGTCTCATTCTCTCTTTATACTTTTTCACTCCACTCACTTCTCTTTCTCCAACCCTGTCTATCTGTTCATTCTCCCTCCCTCTCTTTCTTTCTGTCTTCCTTTCCACATCTTTCTCTCTCCCTCTCTCTCTCTCTCTCTCTCTCTCACTCTCACTCTCTCCATGAGGTCCATCTTGCTCCATCTCTCTTTCTCTTTTTTCTCTATTTTCTGTCCTTTCTCATTTTTCTCCCTCCCCCTTTCTCTTTTTTCATCTTTTTTCTGTTGCTATCTATCTGTTCATTCTCCCCCTCTTTTCTCTCTTTTTTCTTTCTTTTTCTCTTTTCATTCTCTTTCTCTCTTGCTTTCTGTCCTTCCTTTCTCTTTTTTCATTTTCACTCTTTTTCTCTTTTGTTGTCTCTCTTTTTTTCTCTCCCTTTTGTCTCATTCTTTCTTCTCTCTCTCTCTCTCTCTCTCTTCCTCTCTCTCCCTCTCTCTCTCAGAAGGCCAGAAAACCACAGTAAAGCAAGTCAAGTTTATTAATGAGCCTCCACTCTGTGAGACGGGCAGCTGCAGTGAGACAGTCTGAGGAAGGGAATGTCACTCGCCCGCTTGTTCTCTCACAAGAATAGTTTTTAACGCTGTGGAAAACGTTTCGGTTCGCTCTATAAATGTAAAGCCAAACACTATAGCGACGGCAGGACCTTCAGCGGTTTTGCTGGTCAGCTGTTCGGGGGTTTGGATGGAACAGTTGGTGTTTCTGTCAGTCAGGGTGTGTGTCTGTCAGTGTTTCCACCGTGCGGTCAGTAATTTTATTTGTTCATTAGAAGCTCAATCAGTCAATCAGTCAGGCAGTGTTTCTCTTGGCTCGTGTAAGTGTAATCTTGGGGATTTCTGATGGGACCGTGTCCTAAAACCACTCCGTGCATGTCAGTTCATAACCTCAGTGTGGAGATCAGACCGTGTTGTTGAGCAGATTGTTCTGGATGGTGTTTTGTGCGTTTCGTTTTTCCTCTCCTCGTCTTCTCTCGCTCGTTTTCCATTGGTGGTGGGAACTGGGCTGATCATTTCTGCTGCTTATTCTGCTTTAAGGCTGGCACAGGTTTAAAGCAATGGTTCAGCCTGAGATTAGATTTACACAGTTATCCCCTTTCAGGCAATGTTGTTGATTAGCCAAAGCATTTTTATGTCTGAAGTTTGCTTCTTTAGTTTTGTACTGGAGCTACACGGAGCTCACAGAGGTGTTCGTAAGTCACTTCAGTCGAGTCTCTGGGATACGAGTTCAAGTCGAGTCGCAGATCTTTAGTAGAGAATTTTAGTTTAGTCATTATACAAAAGTAAAACCTTAATAAAACCCTGTCAGACTCAGTCTGGCTTCAAATAAGGAGACTTTACTAGACAAAACCTTCAGTCTGAAGGGCAGAGCTAAAACGCTACACGCAGTAAATGCACTGTTAAAGGAAAAGATACAAAACAACTTGAAACGGTTGGCTGGTCTGTTTTTTATAGCAAGTATGCCTGCTAGCTAGTGTAATCCAGCTAAAGTTTGATGTTTTAAAGAAATGTGATCTGTAACTTTTTAAAATTTAAGCCAGATTAGCTGACAACTTAAATGAAATTAACTGCTAGCGATAGCTAGCGTACCAAGTCTACATTTCAGGTCATTAACAAGTAATAGAGGTCTATAGCCACTGAGTTAGCATTGTTGAAAGTGCATATCTACATAATCACATACTTGTTTCAAACCAAAAGTTCACTGCACAGCTAAATTCAGATAGATAAGGCTATATTTGTGTCCATTTTTATAGATAGCAGTGTCATAAGCCATATAAACAAGTCTATTTGAGATTAGCACAGTTTCCACAATGCTAACTGAAGCACTATAAGCTTCCATTGCTTGTTAGCTGCATTCACCTCATAGCTCCAGTACAAAACTAAAGAGCAAACCTCAGAACTTCAGACACCAAACATATCTTGACTTGACTGCGTTTGGGATCAGGGGAAAAATGGTGTAAATATGATTTTTGGCCAAAACATTGCTTTAACAAAGTTTTTAAGCAGATTTGTTTAAAACTATGAACAGATGCTTAGAGACTGGCATTAGGACATTAACACACGCATACACACACCATTTAATGCATGAAGACAGAGTAGGAAAATACTTACAACAGCACGCAAGCATTTTCCCCCAGAGCCCAGACAAATGATTTTGGATTAGCTGCCTTCATTTGATCCCGCAGGCCATTTTAAACCAGACTGTTGGCCAATGTTGGTTCTCTGAAGCCCCCGGCTTTGGCCTGTGTCCAGTGGATTTGCACATACATTTCCGTAAAGCAAGATGCCTTACCAAAATAACAAAATGTGGAAACACTCACGCTGTTGGTAAAGCTAATGTTAAACAGACACTGTCTAGCTAGCAGGTCCAGCCAACGGCACAAATGAAACTATTAGCGTCTCGTAATTCATCTTTACCTCATACGTTCTCTAGAATGCTGTGGAGCAAATACTACAGACATTGAATTAATGAGTAAATGAAAGTGCATTTACTTTTTTGATATACCTTCGTACAGCTACATGATAAACTCACGCTTGCTCTGCTACTGAAGTAATCCCACTTTTCCTGTAATAAAAACTATGTAGACATTTGTTGCAAATTTCAGGTCAGCAGTGAGATGATAATTCTGATAATTCCTAACTGGACATAGATCAGCAGAAATGACTCAGCTGAGCAGGAACAGGCATTACACTGACAGTTTGGCCAGAAATCTAATCTGCACAATTTTCCCTCTTCTCCCAAATGTAGTCGATCAACTAAGATATGTTTGGTGTCTGCAGTTTGCTTAAAAACAAACAAAAAAAAACAGCACAGATCAGCACGAATTCCGTACTGGTCTAATCTGGTAAAAGCTGGTTTATGCCAGTCTAGTGATGGTCTGGTACTGGTTTAGTTGGTCACCCGTCATGGACATGCTGGATGACCAGCATACCAGCATCCAAAACACAACATATTCTGGTTTTGCTGGTGACATGCCAGCCAGGCCTGTCTGGTTTTTCTAGCAGGACTTTTTTCACTGGAGCTGCAATGCTAGCTGACAAGTAATGGAAGTTTATAGCCACTAGCCTTGTGCTAACAACATGCCTAAATCATCACATACTTGCCTCACGTTTGTACATAATCTCAAATAGACTTACTTAGATGCTGTATGACTTACTGCATTCTTTGCTTATTAGCTACATTAGCATTAGCTAATGTAGCTCCAGTGCTATGTGAAAGAAGCAAACTTTAAACATGTCTTGGCCGATTTCTAAGTTAAGATAAGGTAAAAATAGTTTAAATTTCACTTCTAGCTGAGCTATTCTTTCAAGATTAGTCGCTTAGCTAGAGAGAAGGTTAGTGTTTCTGCTATCACGGAATGCTAAAACCAAGCAGCACCAAACGGCGGTGCGTTTCTTTGCTTCACATTGATATCTGACTTAGCCTTTCTGCTTTTGAGACTGTGATGGCTGTGTAAGGCCAGCTCTTGCCTGGACACTTGTTTTGAATGTGGAGCGCTAACTGCCTGATGAGTGTCATCAGTACCGCTCATACTAACACCAGTCTGCCTCACACCTGCCTGTCACTCTTTTACTCCAAACTGTGAGGTGTAACCTCAAGGCCCATTACTGCTAGCATTAGCACAACATGCTTATTAAGCAGCTTACTTTAGCAGCTTAGATAGCATTGCTACTTATTTAGCATTTTTACTTAGCAGCTTAATTAGCATCCTTACTTACGTAGCATTCTTACTTAATTAGCATTCTAATCATATCCCCTCAGTACATCTAGTTGGTGTCATGCCCCTATTAGGAACCCCATGTTTAAGGAGATTTCTCAGTGAAAGAAATGAATGACGTTTTTATAAAAATCACTGCTAACCCTGTGTTAAACAGATGTTTTGTCCTACATACAAATTTTTCCCCAAATGTCACTGGATGCTCTGAATTACGAGGTTGTTTAGCAGTCGAAAGACAAATAATGCTACACGCTACAAGTAAGCTAATTCTCTTATGCGCTGAAATAATGTCACATGAAAGTAAGGCTACTATTAAACTTCAACACTGTTATATACCAACACCAACGACTCAAACTGTAGCCTAAAACTGCCAAAGGCTGCTCTTAAACTGCTCTTAGCTACCACATTTGACAAAGCTTGCTGGTTTGTTTTGTGGTATTTTGATGACGTTGCCAGTCTTCTGTTGTCTGTTCATTGCTTAGCAGTGTTAGCTTTCATGTAGCAGTATTTTGACTCCTTTTTGACCTTGTACATCAAACAGTCTAGTAACTTTTGGAGGGAAAATGTCCGAATGGAAAAACCTAACAGATTTGGAATATTTTTGTATGCCACAGCAGCGATTTTCCCTACAGAAAAATAAGCTTAGACCTGGAGTATTTGACATGGGCATGACTCAGACGACAGAATGACACCACCACCTCGAAGGTCTATTTAATTTCCCACCTAATAAGGGTAATATATGAATGAATGTCTGGATGAATGGATGAAAATTTGAACAATTTAAGCTAGTTCACTTTATAGCTCAGAAACAGTGGTACTCTTTAATGGAAACTTAGGGTTACTGCTGGTCAGCATAAGTGTACAATTACAGGACATTCTGTGGCATATGGGTCAACCTCAGAGCACTAAAGCAGTGTTTTTGCAATGTGTGTGTATGTCTGTGTGTGTGTATGTGCAGAGGAAAGGAGTGTCCAGCAGCAGCTACATCAGCCACAGCTGTTACCCAATGGTAAATATCAGTTTTATTTAGCTCCACTCCTATTGGCTCCCTCCTTCCCGCTGCGGGCGTGGTGATGCTGGAACTCTTAACTAACCCAATGGCAGCGCTTCCTTCTCACCAGGATTGGGCTCGGTTCAGTTTCTCAGCCAATGCTGCTAGAAGATTGCATGTAGTGGATACCGGCAGTTCAACATTTGAATTCCCAGTATGAATTCATTTCTGTTGACGGGCAGCAACTGGTCAAACTGGAACAAGCCCAACCCTGTATGGGACACCTTCTTTTCACCTTTTAGCATAATCTGCACTAAGAACAAAGATCTCTTCTAATCTCTAATAAAGCATGTTCTACTGCTTTAAAGAGCCATTTTTTTTTACTTTTTTCTGCAATGCCAACATGCCATTACACAAAAATACATCTGTTGCAGTCATCTGCCATTGGCTGCCATGGTAATAAATACACATGACTGATTTTGATTATACTCCATTCGGATTAATTGTCTGTTCAGCAATTAGAGTGAGTTCATTAACTATTTTACATGGACACAATAAGCCAAGTAAGTTCTTGCCATATTTATTCCATGAGACGTCCTCTTTACGCCATTTAACAACATCTGTGTTTATTTTTTCTCCTTCCATCTAAATAGCTCATGATGTCCATTTCTGACGATAGCCACGTTTACATGCAGCCTAATAACCCATTAATAATCTGACTAATAGCTCAATCAGAATAGAAAACATCCATCTGAACAGCTCAATCGGAATAGACTAGTCTGATTGAGGACATTCGGAATACAATTTCTATCCGATTGAATGAGGTGGGTAATCCTGTAAATAATCCGTTAAATAGAAGAATAATATCTGTGTAAACGCCTGTATCTGATTACATTCCCAATCGGAATGTGTAAGTACGTTCTGCGCTTGTGCGTCGCGTCATAGTGAAAGTTTTTAATGTTCATCATGGTGGAGCAGAAACTGGTCTGCAGAGGAGACGAAGTTTATGCTCTGATCTTTAAAAGACGGCGGTGGGGCGGACGTCCAGCTTATGTGTCTCAGAACACGACGTCTTCCTCTCGGCCTTCTTTAATAAGGACATGTGAGGTACGTTTTTCTGAGGCTGACATCGTTTTAAAAATGAAAAACACAAGCGCAACATCTGAAAACTCGTCTCACTCTGACTGGACCTCACGTGATGTTCGCTGTCATGGTAACGTCTACACTAAATGGTACCTAATGCATGCGCGTCATGTTGGATTGGATTACTTATAGTGTGCGTGTAAACAGAGATTTTCCGTCAGATTGTTAAATAGTGAGCGTTTAAGTACATCAGTCTTAATCTGTAATCAGAATGTATTCAATCGGATTGGCAAAAATTCTTTGCATGTAAACGTAGCCAATGTTTAACCTGAGTATGTGGACACCAAATCTCACAAAAGCCTTATGTGTGAGTCAGTGGAATGATCTAAGAGTTCAATCTATTCCGACTGGACAAGGATAAGAATCTAAATTGCTCATCGATAGTAAACCTAAAATTTTTTTACAAATTCGGACTCATTCCATGTGCATTTGTTTTCAACTTTTGAACATTTTTAACGTTTTCTTTTCATTTAAAAATACTTGAAATGGCAGCATTTTATGATTACCTTACTTAGTAAGAAGACTAAATTAAAAGGCAGAATCAATCATTGTAGAGGGCTTAACAAGGCTTTACTCTCTGTCATGTGATAGTGGTCAGTATTTGCTCTACTGAATTACAAATACATCTAGCACATTATCCAGCGTGCTCCTTGGTCTTGACCCTAAGCTTGCATGTTGGCTAAAAGTGAAAACTTTTCCAGGGCGCTTTACTGCTGGCGTCTTTCCGTTTCCCTTGCCCTTATACGTCTGAACCTAACACAAGGACAACCTTTGTCTCCTTCCCCAAAGTCTCTTCACCATTTGTCAGCGTCTTTCTGTCAGCTCTGCCTCTTTGCTCATTCAGAGAGGCTTCGCCGCTTTGAAAAAGAGCGAGTCTGTTTGCACAACAGCCTTTTAACATCAGGGCAGGTTTAACACAGGCCGCTGGATCTAGTGGAGGCTCCAGAAAGCCCCGTGCCAAGGGCTTGTCATATTTACCAAACAGCTTTACCTCGGGATGCATGTTCCGGACTTGTTCCGAGAGATTCATAAAGCCGTGGTGCCAACTTTCTGCAACTGCGAGCAAATTCCTGAGGCATAGCTGGACTCGGCAAAGAGCCTCCCTCAAACGCTCCAACTTTTCCAATCACAATGGTAGTTTAGACAAACACCAGGAGACTCTGCTTTTATATGGACTTTGGCACATAAAAGACGGAGGGAATAAAGTGAAACATCACCATAAACCCCTATGCCCCTTTTTATTTTGTTTCCACATTTGTTTCTTAGTGATCTTAGGAAATTGCATCTTGTTCTTGTTTAGTTTGTGGTCTGATTCCTTTTAGAATTGGCCCCCTCCTGTCAAATTACATCTTTGAGGCCCATCTGTTCTCACAGCATTAAGAGAGCAGGGCAAACTGGCTGGCATCAGTTCAGTAATGTCTAGAGATTAGATCTTGACAGATTAGCATCACCTGATTATTTCAATTGTTAGAGGAATACCACACTCATAAATTCTAATGCTTCTAATATTGAATGAAAACCCATCATGGTCAGCGGATGTCAGCCAGTGTAGCTAACTGCCAACTTTCTGTAAAGTATTACAGTGGTGTTGTCCAGCGTTAGCACTTGCTAGTTCTTTGGCATGTTCCTTTGAGTTATTGGGACATCTTGCTAGTGCAGCCCTTGAACTGTGCATTAGACCATGACCACTGAGATGATGTTGCTGTCTACCAAATCCAGAAATGCTAATGTTCCTAATAATGAATAACTATGCCTACTGAATATTAGCCAACAGTCTTGCTAACTGCCAGCTTTCTACAACTCACTACAGTCTGCCCATTGCTAGCCATGTTAGCTGTTTTCCTTTAAAGTGACATGACATCATGTACATTGGTCAGTGACTATTAAGATAATTCTGTTGTTTATTTCAGTCATTAATTGAATACCACATCCAAACCTGCTAATGCTCCTAATAATGAGTAAATGTATCATGGTCAGTGGACATTAGCCGAGCATTCTTGCTAGCTGCCAACTTTCTGTAACTTATTACAGTAGTGTTGTCCGTCCTTAGCCATGCTAGCTCTTTGGCATGTTCCTTTGAGTTGCTGGGACATCTTGCTAGTGCAGCCCTTGGACTGTACATTAGACCATGACCACTGAGATGATGTTACTGTCTACCAAGTCCAGAAATGCTAATTTTCCTAATAATGAATAATTATGGCCACAGAAAATTAGCCAACAGTCTTGCTAACTGCCAGCTTTCTACAATTCACTACAGTCTGCCCATTGCTAGCCATGTTAGCTGTTTTCCTTTGAAGTGACGTGACATCATGTACAGTTATCCATGACTATTAAGATAATTCTGTTGTTTATTTCAGTCATTAATTGAATACCACATCCAAACCTGCTAATGCTCCTAATAATGAGTAAAAGCACTTTATGGTCAGTGGACATTAGCCGAGCATTCTTGCTAGCTGCCAACTTTCTGTAACTCATTATAGTAGTGTTTGTCCATCGTTAGCCATGCTAGCACTTTGGCATGTTCCTTTGAGTTGCTGGAAAGCTGTGCTAGTGCAGCCCTTGGACTTTCCATTGGACCATGACCATTAAGATGATGTTGCTGTCTATTTCAGTTATTCAAAGAATATCACATCCAAAAATGCTAATGTTCCTACTAATAAAAGTCCATCATACTGAATACTGAATATTAGCCAAGCAGTCTTGCTAACTGCCATGTCCATGGTTAGACGTTAGATGTTTTTCTTTGAAGTACTTGAATGTCATTGTGTTGTTCTGTCCATCAACTGTGTGCTGGACCCTGACGATTAAGATTATGCTGCTATTTTCTGTTATTAATAGAATACCACACCATACCACAAATGCTAAAATTGCTAATAATGCCATGCTAGTTCTTTCGGGTGTTAACCTGAAGTGCTGTCCAGTGCAGCCCATGGACCATACATTGGACAATGACTACCAAGATGATGCTGCTGTTTATTTCAGCTGGTTTGAGGAATAACACATCCAAAAATGCTGTTCTTAATAGTAAAAGTCCCATCTTAATATTAGCCAAACAGTCTTGCTAATTGGTTGCTAACCGTCTATTGTTAGCCATGCTAACATGGGCCATACTTTGCACCATGACCATAATATTACACCTCTATTTATTTCAGTTATTCTAGAAATTGTACACCTAAAATGTCAATATTGCTAATGATAAAAGTCCATTATGGCTACTAAATATTAGCTGCAAACTAGCAACTTTCTACAACTAACTACAGCAGTGTTTGTCCACTGTTAGACACGTTTAGCATTTTTGGGTGTCCCTGAAGTGCTGGGACCATAACCATAACCAGATATTCTGTTTTTTATTTTAATTACTAATAGAATACCACATACTAACATGCTAATATGGCTAATGGTTAACTTTCTGCAACTCACTATAGCTGCGCTTGTCCACTGTTAGCCTTGTTAGCTTGTCTGGGTGTTCCTTTGAAGTGCTAGGACGTCGTGGAGTCTAGTAAAGCTTTCTGAAAGTAACATAGCTTCGTCTGCAGGAGCGAGTCTGAGCCTGCACAAATACCCCCTCCCTGCTCAACAGCCCATGTTTTGTCTGTCTAGCCTTACTCAGTTGTCAGCGACCTGATGCTTGCAGTATTTCACACAGTGCTGATGTTTTGACCAGGGCCTCACCTCCTAGCTGAGCCTAGCTTTCTTTATTTTATTTTTTTTAACCCCAGTCAGTTTTATTTCATATTTCATGTTTGGCTGAAGTCAAGCTGTTACTACTGTAGTCTTTGCCCTGGAATGTTCCTGAAGTTTCATTAAAATGGTGGATGTACAGAATAATGTTATGTGTCGTTTGAATTTTCACACTCATACATGTGGTTATGCAATTTCATGCCTGAAGAAAAGTTGCAGCAGTGTGTGGGTATCGCTTCACACGAAGCTGTAATCATCATACTGTAAATATTTCAGTGCCCTCCTCTCAGTCGACCATTACAGTCTGGTACAGTTACTGGCTTGCTAAGCGTTTTTGAGGCATGCCATGATACCCTCCAGCAATGCTGTCTTAACACTGCTGCAGTGTGCTAGAATCTCTCTCTGTCTCTCTCTCTCACGCTCTCTGTCTCTCTGTCTCTCTCTCTCACGCTCTCTGTCTCTCTGTCTCTCTCTCTCTCTCTCTCTCTCTCTCACTCTCTCTCTCTCTGTCTCTCTCTTTCTCTCTCTCTCTGTCTCGCTATCTCTGTGTCTCTCTCTCTCTCTGTCTGTCTCTCTCTCTCTCTCTCTCTCTCTGTCTCTCTCTCTCTCTCTCTCTCTCTCTCTCTCTCTCTCTCTCTCTCTCTATCTCTGTGTCTCTCTCTCTGTCTCTCTCACTCCTCAGAGTTTCCCTTTTTGAAGAACCAGCTGCTGTGCCTTTGTCCAATTTTCCACTTTGTGGTATACATACATACATACATACATCATCTAAACCGCTTATCCTTCTGGGTCGTGGTGGGGTGCTGGAGCCTATCCCAGCTGTCACTGGGCGGAAGGCAGGATACACCCTGGACAGGTCGCCAGTCCATCGCAGGGCTTGTGGTATACAGTTGTGTGCAGATGTTTTGGCACCTCTGTCAAGTGACGTTTTGTTGATTTTCTAAGTGAAAATCGGTGAACACAGTACTCTATAGAGATCACCTTTACGGTTTATTGCTAAATTTAACATATTGGGTGAAAAATAAAACATAAAATGTGGCCTGCATGAAACATGACACATTTTATATTTTATGTGTTTAATATTCCTGTTTTGGTACTAATAAAGGATTATCTGGTCTCATCTTTGTGTTTGTTTAAAAACTGAGTTGTGTTTTAAGCTAATTCACCAGCTGTTTGTGGTTAGCTAGCTACTGTATGTAAAATGGGCTATATTTTAAGCTAATTAGCCAGTTTTACATAGCTAGCTGGCTAGTAAGCATGCTCTCCATAGAGAATGTGTTCACTTACTTTCACTTAGAAAATCAACAACACGTATCATTTAACCAGGGTTGCCCAAACATTTGCACAAAGCTAGCTAGTTAGTCAGTAAAATGAGTTGTATTTTAAGGTAATTAACCATTTTTACATAGCTAGCTAGCTAATGTATGTAGTGCTTCGACAGGACAGTGTGACAGCTGACAAATGGTCAACCATTTTTTGAAGTAACTGCTAAACATGTCTAATTAACAGAAACTGACACAGCTTAGAATATTCCAGTGACTGATGTCAGTGGTGTAACATGCTGAGCTTTAAAGATGTTTGTAAGGGGGACGTTAGCTCATTCTGATAGATCAGTTACAGTGAACCGCACGTCCTCAGGGGGAGCTCAGTTTGTCAGAACACGACAGAGATTTAATTCGCGTTCTGGTCCTTCAGCATGTGGTCGAAGGTAACGTTGTGCTTCTGTGGAAAGCTAAGTCAGACCTGGATATCGTTGTGGTCGGATCAAAACCTTGCCTCCAAAATGAGAACTTTACAGGAGAATAAAAAAAAACTCTACTTTTAATGTAAGTCAATGGAATCAGAATTTTTTCCAAGTAACTTTGGATCATTTCTGTTAGTCCATTCATCATGAACTTTACACACAACATATAGGTCCACAGGTACCTTCAAATTATGTCAAAAACCTAAAAGAAAAACAAAACTGGAGATACAAGGATTTGTTCTGACAGCAGTGATATGCTGTTTGTGACTACTTTATCCTTAATTTTAAGAACATGCTCCCAGATTTTACTCTACCTTTATAAACTTACAGCTGGAATTGTTCTTTTTCTTTCGCTATCTGCTCACACAGGTACAATATATATTCCATGTAGGTACACTAGATGTGAATTTATGCCCTCTTCAGGTTAAGTGGTTAACTCACTGTTAACCACTTAGTGGGGCATCACTTTGAAAATGTAAACAAAAAATTGACGATGTAGAAGATTTTTTATTATTAATAATTGTTCGTTTTAATGTTAATACCACTATGTTTCCTATCCATGTTTTGAACATTTAAGCTGCACTTAATTTAGACAATTTAATTTAAATTTAAATTAGACATTTTACCACAGACCTAAAATTTTATAAATTCTCTATTTTTTTTTTTATATTTTTAGACTCATCCAGATGTGAGCCATAGTGCTTTACCCAGTGAGCGTGTATATTTTATGTACTGTAGCCTGGTCTATCCATTTTTTCCTCACATCTGGATGGGTTTTCTCTTATGAGAAATCCAAAGAACACCCTGAACCCACACTGACTGCTCCCAGTTGTTCAATATGATGGTGTTTCTGATCTTGAAGTCAGGTTTGACTCCCCACTAGGCGAAAAATGGGTATTATTGCATTCCAAGTTGGATTTAAGACACTGAATACAAAAGGCATCCCAGCTGCTTTTGCTGATGCATCCATATGGTACTGCCTGGTGTTTCCATTATTTTGTCACATTCCTAGATAAAGTTTAAAGATGTAATGTTACTGATCAGGCTTCACATCCTTTGTGTGTGTGTGTGTGTGTGTCTGTGTGTGTGTTTCTTCAGAGACGTGTGCAGTGAATAATGGAGGTTGTGACAGCACATGCCATGATGCGCTAACAGGGGTTCGCTGCAGCTGTCCAGTCGGGTTTGCTCTCCAGCCTGACCGCAAGACATGCAAAGGTAATACACGTTCACTCACATACAGATACGCTGATAATACATTCATATTGGGCATATTGGGCTTACAGGTGTATTAGGCTTCTTAGGTAATAAGGTACGCTTTTAAATGAATGTGGACACCTGTTCTGATTGGTGGGTTTATCAGTCTGGCCACACCCATAGCTAACAGGTTCATTAAATTAAGCATTCAGCTCACTCTTTTAACATCATTTAGGTGGGTGTTATCATCATGGCAATGTTTTTGTGTCTACACAGCCATTAGTTGCGTACCATCACTGTTCTGCAAAAAGGCAATGAATGACGTTTTTTCAACACGTAACATGTAAATATAGCATTAGCCTGCCTGACTGTTTCTCCTACCTCAGCTTTCCTAAGGCTGCTTTCCTGGCTAGAGATCGTAGTAGTTTACCGTGTTAATGGCAATTTATCAGTACTTCAGTGCTGTTTTTAAAGAAAAAAAACAATCCAAAAATTACAGTCTTCATCCATTCACTCTAGACATCTACTCCTAGTTTTGTAAAAGGGATGCCTGTTGTTAATTATGGCGAGACTGTGATCACCATGTGCAACACCAAACACCAAAACACCAAAAACACACCGCCGTTAGACTCTGGAGCAGTAGAAACATTCTCTGAAGGGATAAATCACATTTCACCATCTGGGATGGGTGAACCTGGGTTTGGTGGATGCTGGGAGAACGCTATATGCCTATGAATAGTGGCAACAGCAAAGTTTGGTGGAGGAGGGATAATGATCTGAGGATGTTTTTCAGGGTTTGGGCCCTTTAGTTCCAGCGAAGGGTAATTTTAATGCTACAATGTACATTGAACATTCTGGAAAATTGTGTGCTTCCAAATTTGTAGCAGCAGTTGAAGGAAAACCCTTTATTTTTTCTGCAAAACAATGCTCTCGTGCTCAAACCGAGCTCCATAAAAGCATGGTTTGATGAGTTTGCTGTTACGTGTCTTTCCATTAATGGATGGCTTAAAGGGTTATGTGAAATTGTCTAGTAACAGATGGGCTACAGTGTGTAACTTTTCAGCTTCAAAATGCACCTGCAGTACTGTGTAAATATCAAAGACCACAATTAATTTACTTAATTGCCAGTCAAAACAGCCATTGAGTTATGAATTTTCAGAAAAGAAAGCAGAAAGCATAACAGAAAATTACATATTTTTTCACACCTCCAAAGTTCAGTCTTAGAAGTTGGTTACACTTTCAGCTTCTCACAATCCAAGTAATCCCAAACACATTTAGTGATGTTGAGGTTTGGACTCTGGGGTGGTCAGTCTGTTGTCACCTTCTTTTTTGATTTGTCTATTACTTTTTCTCAGTGAGGGCATTTTGACTGCAACACATCCTTTCAGACTCATAGTGCTGACTTGTCCTCTCTCAGTGGGAGCAAAAGTGGAGCTTAATTTTCTCCTCTCTCTTAAAGACGAAAGCTTTAAGTGCTGTTTATCTGATGGGGGCAGTATTGGTGGTTTACCAGGTCTTCCAGGTGGTTGTTAGGAGTCCAATTTTCTCTGTAGCTTTTAATCATTTTTTAAACTCCATTTTTAGACAGCTTTTTCTTATACAAGTTGATTATCTTATATTTAATCTACTCAGAAATATCTCATGAACAATGAAGAAAATTAAATAACAGAAAATTAAATAATACAGGGTGGTCTGTGGCTTTTGCTCAGTACTGTATATGGTAGGTGTTTCTGATAAAGTGGCCAGCGAGTGTCAGAACAAGGTGATTCAGTTGGTACACAAACATGCACACATACTTGCACGCAAACTCACCCACTTTCTACATGCACACAGACATATACTCTCTCTCTCTCACGCACTTTCCCTCCGTTCGTGTGTTTGTTTGTTTGTTTGGTATGGTTTTCATCTGGCTGTCAAACGTAATTGCTCCATGGTGCGTCTCGCGGATTGGAAGAGCGCTGGCAAACGAAAGACGAGGCTTAAGGGGAGGACGAGAGAGCACAGAGGAGTTTGAGGCTGGAAAAAGGAGACAGAGAGAAGGAGTAAATAAAAAAGAGAAATAAAAAAAAAGTGGAAAAAAAGAAGCAGAGCTCATAATACTGCGCTAACGGCGCTCCCTAAAAGAACATTTGCTTTTATTAGTTTGGTTCTGAGAGGGAACAAAAGGAAAACAGCCCCAGACAGCACTGGCAGGAGAAGACAGAGGCTGAGAAAGGGAGAGAGAGAGAGAGAGCAGTATTATTTTATTCCATTTTCAATGCGCTTATTTCATCCAGATGATGCCAGCCCCTCTCAGTGATGGACGCCTCATTTAGAGAGATGATTCAGGCTTAATGGGAACCATCCTTGTAGATTGAAAGCCAGTGAAAGGCTGGAGGAGATGGATGATGTGTCAGTCTTTCGCTGGTAGAGCTCACAGATTAAGCTTCAGCAGTAAAGTGGAGAGGTAGTGCTCGCACCTCATTCACATGTAATTACATAATTATTATAAAATGGCTCTGAGCCACATTTGAACGCATTGTAAAATAATCTATATAGATCATTCTACCAAACTGCGTTACAGTCTCTTTTGGAACGTTTAACTGACCTGGACTTTAGACTAAAATTTTGCTTTGAGTGACCATATATCTTAATTATGTTTAAGGTATAGGGATGCTTGCATGGATGCTAAAAGGCTAACCTGCTAACCTAAGTACAAAAAATACAATATAAAAAATTGAAATTAAGCTTTTAACAAATTATGAATAGTTTTTCGGAAACTACAGAAAATTAACAATCAAAATATCATAGTACTTCAATTTTTGGCAAAATCTGTTTATTTTTATTTTTTTCTTTGGCTTTTCTGATGGATTCTGCTGACCATCAGAGTCATTCACTTTGACTGTAAGTAGCATTGAGCCCAGGCTGAATCTCAAATAGCTCCACCCTTTCTAAACAGGACTGTATAGGAAGTTATGAAATTCTGGTTTCTACACGCAGACAGTGCAGTATTTACTCACTATCCAGTTGTCCATCGGCTTCCTCACTCACTCCTCATTACTGATCTGTAACATATCGAATCTCAATCCTTTTCCCTTCTAGATATCGACGAGTGTCGCATGAGTAATGGCGGCTGCGATCACATGTGCAGGAACACGGTGGGAAGCTTCGAGTGCAGCTGCAGGAAAGGCTACAAACTGCTGACCAATGAGAGGACCTGTCAAGGTATGAGCTCAGTACTGACCACTGGTCTACTTTAGTGGACTCTCCTGTGAGTCCAGTCATGTATGCAAAAGTTTGGGTGCCCCCGTTGGTTAAATTATGTTTTTTTGATTGTCTAAGTGAACATATTTTCTACAAAGAACACAAGTCTGCACAGATTAAAACACAAGTACTGTTTATTTGCTGAATTTAATTTATTTGAGTAAAATAAATTTAAATTAAAACAGGAAATGAAGCCTGTGCAAAAGTATGATACATTTTATACTTTTATACTTTTTTTCAAAATATTAAACTCTGAAAATGAATGCAGTTTGGATATTAAAACATTTGCATATGAGTGTATCACAGCCTGTTTAATTCCCAGTGGGAAAGAGAGGTAGTCATGTAAAATTAATTATGACTGTTTTTTGTACATGAAACCACAAAAGTGGGCTTCTACGTCTTACATTCCAAATGCCGTCTTCATTCCAAGTGTTATCTGTTCACTCCAAAAATAACAATTATCTTTATTATTCGTAAAGCCAGAGTGTGGCAATATAAAGCATGATTCTGCACTCCTGGGGCTCAGTTCACCTCATATGTCAGTAAATCAAACCCCGTTTGATGGCGTAGTCGTCACGCTGCGTTTCCTTGCCTGTACGGATGAAGTGTGGGATAGTAGTACCAGCGGAAGCCAGAGTGGGGTGGAGGAGTACCTGCACAGCGGGGGAGCGGGCACCCAGCCACTGAGCAAACAGAGGAGATGGCCCGGCCACTTTGCTGAGCCGAGCTGCAGGTGTGGGGAATTAGAGCGAGAAAATCCTCAATTCCTCCCTCACCGGGGGAGCAGCCCTCTGCACACGGACACATCTGGAGGCTTCAGGAGAGCGCAAAGCAAACACACAGCCCACAGAGCAACAGCAGAGTGGAAACGCAGAAAACAGGAGGGACAACTGAAATGGAGGGAAGGAGGGAGAAAAGAATGAACGGAGAGAGTGAGAGGTTGAACAGGTCATCTGAACAGGCCCACTGGAGTCAAGGTGACCTTTGCCATCCCACACAAATGCAAGTGTTAGTGTGTAAATCTCTGACAGTGCTTTTAAACATACACTGAATACACAAATGTTTACACAGTACAGACAATAAAAAACACTACACTACACTAAGCTTTACATTCTCTACACATTTATTTTCAAGATGTGATCTATTTAAATAAAATCAAACCATGTTTTTTCCACATTTTATATTTTACATTTTAAAAAATGATCAAACACACATTACAGTGCACTTCTTCATTTTTTACACTTCTACTCTCTACGGTCATTAAGAGTCAAGAAGAACTTTGTCCATCCATCAGTGTGTAATAAAATAGCATTTCAAACCCAAGATTCACCATACATAATATCAGGTGACAGCTACAACGCTCCGGTTGAACTGTGGTTTGCATTCTCTGGAGTTATTGAGCATCACTGAACATCTTTGGGGCTGAGTTGGAGTGATAATGCTCCATTGAATACAGTCTGGATGAGTTTGAGTGGTGAAGCTCCATTAGACACCTCTGGCGTGGTCTGAACAGCACTGGGATGAGTTGAACACCTTTCGAGTGATGACACGCTACTTAACACCTTCGGAATGGGCTAAAGTGATGAAGCTCCACTGAACGATTTTGAGATGAGTTGGAGTGATGAAGCTTCATTAAACAGCCTTGAGATGAATTAGTGATGAAGCTCCGTTGAACACTTTTGGGATGGGCTAGAGTGATGAAGATCCGTTGAACCTCTTTAAGATGAGTTGCTATAATGCGGCTCAACTGAACACTTACGGGATGTGTTGAAGTGATTTAGCTTAAATGAACTTATTTGGGATGAGTTGGAGTGATGAAGCTCCATTGAAAACCTATGGGATGAGTTTAAGTAATTAAGCTTAGTTGAACGTATTTGGGATGAGTTGGAGTAAAGAAGCTCCATTAAACACCTTTGGGATGAGTTGATGTAAAGAAGGTTTATTGAACATCTTTGGGGTGAGTTGGAGTAAAGAAGCTCCATTAAATACCTTTGGGATGAGTTGATGTAAAGAAGGTTTATTGAACACCTTTGGGATGAGATGGAGTAAAGAAGGTCCATTGAACATCTTTAGGATGAGTTGGAGTAAAGAAGCTCAGTTGAACACCTTTGGGATAGGTTGGAGTAAAGAAGCTCCATAGAACACCTTTGGGATGATTTGGAGTAAAGAAGCTCAGTTGAACACCTTTGGGATAAGTTTGAGTAAAGAAGCTCCACTGAACACCGTTGGGATGAGTTGGAGTGAGAAAACTCCATTGAACACAGTTGGAGTGAAGAAACTCTGTGGTACACCTTTGGGATGAGTTGGAGTGAGGAAACTCTGTGGAACACCTTTGGGATAAGTTGGAGTAAAGAAGGTCTATTGAAAACCTATGGAATGAGAAGAAGTAATTAAGCTTAATTGAACTTATTTGGGATTACTTGGAGTGAGGAAACTCCATTGAACACCTTTAGGATGAGTTGGAGTAAAGAAGGTCCATTGAACACCTTTGGGATGAGTTGGAGTGATGAAGCTCACCTGAACACTTTTTGGATAAGTTAGTGTTGGAGAATGTTCCAGAAGCAGAGGTCTGAACACTTTGGTTCATGTAGTGTAGTAGCATAGATGGAACATTTCCGCAGTTGTAAATGTCGACAATCCAGAGAAACAAAAAGGCTATCAGCAAGGCCGTCAACAAGGCATATTGAGATAATCAAGCTTCTGGGATGTTTCCAGTCTTGGCGTTTTGACTGAGTGGTGTCTGTTCTCTTTCAGCCGTTTAGCTCTCCATCGTTCTGCCCCTGTCAGTTTCCCTGAGAAGATTTGGCTCTAGACGTGGTGTACTTGCAGTCACAGCTCATGCGTTTACACCCGGCCTGATTGCAGAAAGATTCTGGCATGTTTTTCCTCGCAGTCCTCCTCTCAAAGTCTAACTGGTTTATTTCATCATGGACAGATTTTTGTTGACCCTGTAGTTTAGATTCAATTTTGTTTGTTTGGGCTGGCCTGCTGGGCATTAATATAGACGCCTTCCTACACAGAGTAGCTGAGCTAAAACCATCCTGCCAATGTCTGCAACCACATACTCCTAACTGAGTCTCTCGCTGCTGTGTGCAATATATCTGTCAAACTGTGTAGGGAAAAGGACGGTTCACACAGGAGCCGCAAGCTTAGTTTTTCTTTCCTTTCTTCCTATGTATACTTAGAGTTATTTGGGCACTGCTGAATGACATTGTGGTAGCCTGAAAGCCATTATTTATGCAAGAGGTTTGCAGGCTCAGTTTGAATTTTGGCTAACTTTGTGATTGAGTTTGTTGTAAGGATCTCCAGCGGTGGCTGTAAAAACCCAACAGTCCTTTCCTCATATTAGCCGTATTATTTGGACAAGCATTTCTCCATGTCAGTTCTTAGGACCCCACAAAGCCCCATCATGGGCTTATGTAAACATAATAACCTAAGGCATATGTTTTCATAATCGTGATAAATGATGCTACGCTTTTCTGAGTATATCAAGGGTATCATCAGTACTTCTTGTCCTGCATGAAGTTGGCTGTACGTCCAGGTGGATAAGTCACATCCAGTCAGCCTGCAAGCAGCTCAATGTATGGCACAATTAACAATTAATTCAAACTGAACACAAACCATTTGTAATAATGGGTCTTCTTGTGAGGCGTTAATGTCAAATGTAACCAGGTATGTAATGGATTTTATTTTTTATCTGTTTTCCATTTTTCAAAAGCAGAAATTAGCATTGTCACAGATGTTTTTTCCTAGATTTTGACCAAGTTTTGGTATTTATTGCCCAAACTGAAGATCTAACTCTAGTGGTCATAGCGTTCAATCATGGACAAAACCCTGCTAAGGCTTACCCAGCATGCTTCTGTTCTCCACCCAGACTTTTCTCCATGACCTTCATTTGTTTTTTAACCAGGCTTAGGGTAAGACCATGGGAACGCTCAGTCATCAGTAGGTCGCTGATCTGAGTCCAGTTTTTCAGTCTGTCTTAAAATGATTCAGGTTGTAATTCAGGTTTGTAATTTAAATTGGGTGTCATCTGCTCAGGCTTTCCACAGCCGTGTCTGAGCATGGAGGAAGGGGTCTTAGGAGCAGGGGGTATCTGGGAGTTACCTCTGTTTGTGTGAGGCCTGCTATTGTTATCATGGGGAAGCGGTAGGTGTGGGCCGCCAGGGAAAACTCTTATCTTTAGCCTGTTCTCTACACAATGCACCGTAAGTGCACCCTGAGGTAAGAGGTCAGACAGATTGCTTAGCTCAGTGGTTTCCCAGCTTCAGTCCTCACTAATCCACAGCACTTCACTGTTTGTGTTTCCCTGCTCTCGCACACCTGATTCAACTCATCAGCTAATTATCAGGGAACCTTAAGGACTATCAGTTGTATTGGAGCAAGGAAACACTAGATGGGTCATAGTTTTGGAGTCGTCCACTGATTTAGCATTGAATTAGCTTTTAAGAGTCATATTACAGAAACCTCTTAAACTCTCAAATATTATCTGTTTAGTCTCCATGACAACTTCATTTTGGGACTGAATGTTGGACAGTAGCTATAACAAAATAGCATTTCTTTAGTTTATTATCTTCTCCTGTTTCCAGAAAACAAGAGTGGTGATGCACCGAAATGAAAGTCTCCTCGGATGCCACAACCCAGCTCATAAGATTATTTTCCCAGACCAAGCCTTTGCATAGACTAAAATGAATGTCTAATGGTGAATCACAGTCACAGTCCAAGAATAGGCTTAATCTATGTCCAGGAAACTGACCCTAGATATTTTCTTAGTTTGTGTTTAACAATCTGGCTGGGATTAACACTGCATTACACCAAGCTTTGTATCGAAGGAAAAAGCCCAGTGAATAGTATGCCACTCCAAATACCTGTTGGTATTCCAAACGCTTGCTGACTGTTTCAGATTGATTTCCTTCAGAAGACCAAGCTGAACTCAGTGTCGCACACTTGACCTTGTTAAGACCTTCTACTAAGGAGGTGGACTCCTCAGCCCAAACAGAGACGAGGCTTGAACCTCTGTTTGAATGCTCCGGGTGGAACATGTAAACAGAATACTTGCTTTATCTGGAGCGAGAGCAGCTCCCCAGGCTGCTTGGCCATCAGCAGCCCCCAGCTCCATCAATCAGGATAGGGCTTGTCCTTCGCCACCTCTCCGAATATCTGGACGCATTCCTTAGCCATCGCTAAACCTCACCCCTGCTGTCCTCAGCAGGCCATTCAGACTCGCCTTCTTATCTGATCATGCCCCCGTATCCTTAAACAGAGGCTGATAGAGCCCCTATCTCTGCTCTGTAAACAGTCCTGATGTTAGTTTTTCCTGAAAGTGCTATTGTTTCAAACTGGCAGTGGAAGGGAAACCGCTAAGTCTGAGATTAGTAAGTAACAAAGCTACCATAAGGAATTAGTATCGGAGGTGCCAAGGAACCAAGCTGGAATCTCTCTTTCTTTCTTCATGTCGCTCTTATTTTTTGTCCTCTCCTTTCTTAGTTCTTTCTTGCAGTTTACCTGCCTCTCTTGTCAATGATAACCATGATTGCTAGGACCCACTTAATGTGATGTGGTGAGATGAGTAGATGTGTTTTAGTGCCAGCCCTGTTCTCTGTCTATCTCCAGTATGTTCCTTGTGCTGGTTAGCACGTACACAGACCTACTGTCACCCATCCCGCATACTGCCACATACTCCAACTGGGCCTTTCCGAAAACAAGAAGCCCTTCTAGCAACGCTGCTAGATCTTCACCATCCTGCACTTTCCACTGGATTGTGGAGATCGTCATGCAGCACAGATAAGAGCACAACTAGGGCTGTGCGATATATCGTTTGTTAATCGCAATTGTGATCTTGGCCTTTGCAATATTGATATCGCAGGAAAGCTACGATATTCAAAACGGGACAGTGCTGTGACCATTCTGACCAACCTCAGATGTTCTGATGAGGTTTTGCGAGAGCTTGATTGAATCAAGACATTTGCGTGATCCACTGGCCGAGTCAGGTGGCTTCTCAGGCTGTACGAGAGGAAGTTTGGCAGACAGGCTGGTGTCCGTGTTAGGCAAAGACTGGCCATTCCTTCATGTCCTCTGCCTTGAAAACAAAGTGGACTATTTCAGATGTAACAGACTAGACAACGGAAGGTGATCAAGGGTCTGCTGCATTTTCATTTTCATTTGAAACGTGACTTCAACATCCCTTAACATTAGCGTAGTTTGTACTGTTTGAATCTTGCGTTATCTAGCCAGGCGCTGGGGACAACCTGCCCCATCACTGCCCCCTCCAGCCCTGAGAGAGACTTGTTTTTCTTTAGGAGGACCACCGCACACCTGGCATGGTTAGATCTTACCTTAGCATAGCACAGTGGCACAGCACAGCATCCAGTAGTGTCCTGATTGAATCAGGCATTCGTGTGGTCCACCTGCCGAGTCAGGCTGCTTCTCAGGCTGTATGAGAGGAAGTTTGGCAGTCAGTCTGGTGTCCATGTTAGGCAAAGACTGGCCATTCCTTCATGTCCTCTGCCTTGAAAGCAAAGTAGACTATAGACTATATCAGATGCAACAGACTAGACAACGAGCGGTGATCAGGGGTCTGCTGCGTTTTCATTTTCATTTGCAACGTGACTGAAACATCCCTGGCTCAGCCTTTCAGCTAAACAGACTAACGTTAGAGTGTTTTTTCACTGTTTGTATGTTGTGTTATCTGCGCTTATTTGCGTCATACCAGTGTAACAGTTTTGACAAAACTCAGATGAACCAGTGTACCGCTGCTATTCTGATGTCATGACAGCTCACATGCTAATTTTTGCTGTACTTAAATTACTTATCATAATATCAAACATTATGACATGACAAGTATCAGAAATGGTACTGGACATTTTCTGTCATGATAATTTGTGAAAGCATGTGGCATGTTTATGGCATAGCTGTGTCAATCATATCTAGCAGGGTTCAAATAAAGGGTAACACTTTTCTGTAGGGTACTGGTCATAAGGCTTCATGACACCTACATAAGCTTATCATGACAATTGACACAACTTTACATAAATGTTTATAAATGCTTATTTCAATAGGCAAAATTCGCTATAAAGGTTACATTTGCCAGTTTTGGTTTGAAGTTTGAACTGGTCTTTATGACAGATGACACCTGTTGGAATAATTATAAACAGTTATGTAGGGTTATGTCAGTTGTCATGAAAAGCTTATGTAGGTGTCATGTAGGCTCAGGAACGGCACCCTACGGTAAAGTGTTACCAAATAAAGTGTTACCTCAACTCTGGGATGTAGTCAAGTGAAGATTTGGACTGCAAGGAAGCAGCTGGAGCCCATTGGTTCTGAAATCCTGTCCATGGCGCCCTCCTTTCCTGCTGAACGCATGCCGGTCACTGTGGAGGTAACAATGACCAGGCTCTCTAAATGAATCTGCCAACAGATTGTAAAACACTTCTGATGAAGCTTGAACGAGCTACGCTGGACGAAATGGAGAACAAAAGGGAGTAATGAAGCATGTGCCCCATATTTCTTCCAAATTGAAATCTTTTAAAGTTACCTTGGCTTTGGAACCAGATGTTTTCCTCAGCACCACTCCAACAATGCTAGTATCGAATTCCCCCCAATGAAAAATTAGTCTAAAAGATTTTACAGATACCCTTGACTGAGGGATTCATGAAAGTGTTCTATAAAGAATACGTATTTCACGCAAACATTTACTGATGCAGCTGCCTGTCGGCTTCTACTGTATGTTGTTTTAAAGTTCAGGAAAACGTCAAAATGCTTATTTGTCAATTTACTCTACAGACACTCTGCAGCAGATAAAAGGTTGAAAAACGTTCAACCTAAAGAGTTTTCCTTTATCTGGGTAGTGCACAGGACCAGGACTGGATGAGTCAGATACCACCCATTATTTGTGTAATGTCCAGTCAAAACAGCACAAAAAGTATGAAAAGTTGATATAAAGTTGATATAAAGTTGATATAAAAAAGTTGCACAGAAACTTTAAGGGCTAAATATAATGTCACAATTTTATTTGACATCACATATTTAGTGTGTCCACTCTTTGCCTTTATTACAGCTTCCATTCTTTTCAGCAGGCTGGCTTTCAGTTTCAGTTTCAGCATCTTTTTTATCTTTTATCTTTTTTTTTTTAGATCTATCTATCTATCTATCTATCTATCTAATGAGAAGTACAGAAGAGAAGATGATACTGTAATCCTAAATCGTGATGTGATGGTCAGTGTGATGGACATTATCCAGTTATTTGAACTCTTTTTTGGTGATACTGCACAAGGTGGCAGTTTGATCCGCTGAAGCCCGTCTGGACACATTGCTGGATTGGGTTACTGCACATTCCTTCTTAAAGCGGGGGGTTGACGGCCGCGCTGGGGAAATCACTTCCACATGGCCTGAGGAAATAAGGACAAGGGGAGCCGTTTTAACAGTTCAGCTGTAGTGCAAAGCCGCACTGAGCTGTGTTAATGATCTGCTGTTAAACACTGATTATACACAAACTCGCTGTAATGGCATGATTGACAGCGGGCGGGAGAGCAAAGGCCGGTGGAGTATCGAAAATGGTTGATGCTCTAATTCCTGGGAGTCATTTACAGATATCCCCAAAACTCCCTGAATTTTTTTATCCAGTTAATTTAATAAAAAAAGAAAAGAAATTATTCACAATTATAAGATTTTTTAATTCACTTAATCAATTAAATAAAAAATAATAAAAAAATATTTTTCTTTGTTGTATTATTCTTTAAATTCAGATAATCATAAGTTAAATTGCATTAATTAATTAAATGTTTTTATTTTATCATTTAAAACACAATTAAATGAAAAGTAAATTTAAAAGTAAAAATATATATTTAATTTATATTTTATCTTTTTTTATCCAATTAATTAAAATTTAAACCCAAGTAATTCTTTAAAATCCAGTTAATTCTTAAAATAAATGAATGATTGATGACATCAAAAAATTAAGAAAAAAATAAATCACCTCAAAAGAGAACATTTCTCCACCTAATGTTCTCATGCGCTCATGCTCTCTATCTCTCTCTCTCTTTTCCTCTCTCTCTCTCTCTCCCTCTCTCTCTTTACAGACATAGACGAGTGCTCCTTTGACCGGACGTGTGACCACACCTGTGTGAATTCTCCGGGCAGTTTTGAGTGTCACTGTCATAAAGGCTACGTCCTGTATGGAGTCGCTCACTGTGGAGGTAAGACACACGTTACTTTAGAGCTTAGCTTAGCCGGGCACTGGGGACAACCTGCCCCATCACTGCCCCTTGCAGCCTGAGAGAGACTTGTTTTCCTTTAGGAGGACCACTGCACACCTGACGTGGTTAGGCCTTACTTTAGCACAGCACAGTGGGCAAATCCAATAATGTCTGATTCATGTTTGCTGTTGTATTTCCTGCACATCATGCTCAGCCATACATTAACCTATGGGGCTCCCTTTACATCAGTGGATGAGGTAGAGGGGGTTGATAAACTGTGCATCAACAGAGGCTACAGTCTCTAATCACTCCAGCAAGGTCTCAGTTGTGAGAGTTCCCTACTGACCACACTGTGCCAACCAGCCCCTCATACGTATAGGTTCGCTCTGCAGCCTGACCACAGACACACGACGGGCTCTTATATGGTGGGTGTTTCTGATAAAATGGCCAGTGAGTGAAGCTACAGTGTAGGTGTTTCTAATAAAGTGGCACCTCAGTGTATATCAGCAGAGGAAATGTGTCCGTGCTGCTGAGCGGTAAGCAGCTGGTGTGGCTGGGTGATGTAACCAAGGGTAGGAATGTGTGTCTGCGGGCCGGGCGAAGGCGCTGAGGCAGGAGCGAATGTTTATGGACGGATTAAAGAGCAGTTTGAGGGCGACGGCCGCTGATAGCGTGTGAATGAGTCACCGAGTGCGTGCAGGAAGACAGACGGGCGGCCTGGCACAGACTCGGAGCAGCTCAGGCACTGTTAAAAGCCCGGCTGTGATGAATGGAGCTCTCCACATGTCTGTCCACACTCGTCCAGCATTCAGATAAGAGGAGGTTTCCCACAGGAGGCCTTTCAGCAGGGAAGGAGATGCTGATGTAGCAGAAACCTCGTGCGGCTCGAGATGAAGTCTAGAGTTACTGTCGCTGTTCCTCTACTGTTTAAATATAATGACATAATTATATGATTACAAAGTTACATAATGAGTTACATTCACAGTCGGGGTCTGCGCCTGACTCCGTACTGTTTGTTTCAGTGTCAGTCAGGGTGTGTTGTTTGCTGCAGGTCAGAGCGGGTACAGCCGAACTCAGGGACATTTTGTGTAATATTAGGCCGAATATTTCTCAAAATTCATAATAATAATGTTTTTGTACCATAAAAGTAACCGTTGAAGTGCAGCTTCCATATAGTGAGGTTACAGTTAATTCTGCCAGAACAGCTCAGCTCCTTTTCGTAATCACACTTATTTTACTGTGTATATCGCTGCTGTTGGAACAAAACCTCGTATCTACATTTTTGTCGTTTTTCAGTTTTTGACATAATTGGAAAATACCTGTTGCGTTTTATATTGTACGTAAATTTCATGATGATTGAACCAAAAGGATTGACCTGAAATGACATGGAGAAAAGTCCGGCTCCATTCACTTACATTGAAAGTAAAGAATGTTTTTTCCTTCTCCTGTAAAATTACCATTTTGGAGATACGACGTTTTGAACAACGCAAAACTGCTTTCAATTAACAGTGTTTTTACTCGATTTGACTTTTGTAGCGACTGTTACAGCTGAAACCCCTCAGTCTGTTACAGTTAAAATCTCTCTCTCTCTCTGTCTCTCTCCCTCTATCTCTTCTTCTATTTCTGTCTCTCATTATTTCTCGTCTTTCTCTCTCCCCCCTTTCTCATTCTCTCTCTTGTCCTCTCTCTGTCTTTCACCATCTTTTGTCTCTATCTGTCTCTTTCTCTCAATCTCTCTCTTTCTGTCCATTTCTTTCAGTCTTTCTCTCTTTCAGACTCTCTATTTCTCTCTTTCAGTCTCTGTCTTTCAGACTCTCTCATTCTGTCTCTCTCATTCTGTCTCTCTCTATTTCTCTCTTTCAGACTCTCTCTCTGTCTCTCTCAATCTCTCTCACTTTTAGCCTCTGTCTTTCAGTCTCTCTCAAGCTCTCTCTCTTTCAGTCTCTCTCAAGCCCTCTCTCTTTCAGTCTCTATTTCAGTCTCTCTCAATCTCTTTCTCTTTCAGTCTCTCTCTATTTATCTCTCTTTCAGTCTCTCTCTTTCAGCACCTCTCTTTCAGACTTTCTTTCAGTCTCTCTCTTTTTCAGTCTCTGTCAACCTCTCTCTCTCTCTTTCAGTCCCTTTCTCAATCTCTCTGTTTCTCTGTCTCACTCTCTTTGTCTGCCACTCTCTCTCTCTCAGTCTCTCTCTCTCTCTCTCTTTCTCTCTCTCTCTCTCTCTCTCTCTCTCTCTGAGGCGTGTCTGTTCAGGGTGGTAAAGACAGCTATTAATGTTTACTAAGAATAAATATCTTTTTACTCGTCTTTTTTCCTCCCTTGTTCCCCCTCTCCTCCCCCTCTGGAGCCGTGTCTCAGAGGCATGAACAGTTGTTGATACAGGAGGTCAATGGAGGTGTCAATCAAAGCAACGTTTTTCTTTCTCTCCCTCTGCGCTCCCTCGCTCCGGAGATTAATGAGAGTTCCGAGGGCAGACAGAGAAAGAGGAAGCGCAGAGTCAGAGGTGCTCGTCTGGAGAGAGGAGGAAAAAAAACGAGGGAACACAAAGAGCACAGAAACCAAAGCAGCTCAGCCAGAGAGATCTTTATTCACTGCCTCTCTCTCCCTCTCTCTCTCCCTCTCTCTCTGCCACTCTCTCCCTTTCTCTCTCTCCCACTCTCTCCCTCTCTCTCTCCCTCTCTCTCTCTCTCTCCCCCTCTCTCTCTCTCTCTCTCTCTCTCTCTCTCTCCCACTCTCTCCCTCTCTCTCTCTCTCTCCTTCTCTCTCTCTCCCACTCTCTCCCTCTCTCTCTCTCCCTCTCTCTGTCCAGGTTTAACTCAAAGCAAATCCTTTTATTCGCTTAAACGCTCTTTTAACGTCTTTTTCTTGGCCTCCTTCAGAATCACTCCATCAAACTTTACTCTCTCTCTCTCTCTTTCTTGCTCTCTCTCTCTTTCTACCTCACTCATTTTTTTTCTCTTTCTCTCTTTTTCTCTCCTTTTCCTTTCTTGTTTTCTTTCTCTCCCTCTCTCTCTCCATTTCCTTTTGTCATTTTCGTCTTTCCCTTTCCCTTTCTCTCTCTTTCTTTTGCTCTCTCTTTCTCCTTCACTAATTTTTATCTCTTTCTCTCTTTCTCTCCTTTTCCTTTCTCGTTTTGTCTCTCTCTCTTTCTCCCTCACTCATTTTTATCTTTCTCTCTCTCCTTTTCCTTTCCGTTTTCTCTTTCTCTTCCTCTCTTTCTCTCTTTCCCTCTCTCCATCTCCTTTTGTTGTGTTCTCGCTCCTTCTCTTTCTCTCTCCTTCTCTCTCCATCTTCTTTTGTCATTTTCTCACTCTCCCTTTCTCTTTCTGTCTCTCTCTCTCTTGCTCTCTCTCTTTTTCCCTCGCACATTTTTATCTGTCTCACTCTCCTTTTCCTTTCTTGTTTTCTCTTTCTCTCCCTCTCTCTTTCTATCTATCCCTCTCTTCCTGTCTCTCTCTTTCTCTCTTTTCCTCTCTCTCTCTCTCCCTATCACTTGAACTTTGCTTTGCACCTGATTTTACTTACTGAAAACTGAACTGTGCTTTTATTTATTTATTTATTTATTTATTAAGCTGTTTGTTTTTATGTGCTGGTTTAAGGGCGGAAATGGCCTGGTGTGACTTTTACACACCGTAGCGAGGTGTGTTTACAATAAAGTGTTGTTAAAAAGTCCAAAAAAGTCTCCCTATCACTCTCCTTCTTCTCCCTCGCTTTCTCTTTTTCTCTCTCTGTCTCTCCTTCTTTTACTCTTTTTCACTGTATTTGGTCCACCTGCCTTGTCTCTACACTCACTGCCCATTTTATCAGCTTCATTGTTTCTCTGCGTACTTTGTTAGCCCCCTTTTACTCTGTTCTTCAGTGGTCAGGACCCCCACAGGACCACCACAGAGCAGGTACTATTTAGGTGGTGGATCATTCTCAGCACTACAGTAACACTGACGTGGTGGTGGTGTGTTAGTGTGTGTTGTGCTGGTATGAGTGGATCAGACACAGCAGTGCTGCTGGGGTTTTTAAACACTGTGTCCACTCACTGTCCACTCTATTAGACACTCCTACCTTGTCAGTCCACCTTGTAGATGTAAAGTCAGAGACGATAGCTCATCTGCTGGTGCACAGTTTGTGTTGGTCATCCTGTAGTCCTTCATCAGTGGTCACAGGACGCTGCCCACAGGACGCTGTTGGCTGGATATGTTTGGTTGGTGGACTATTCTCAGTCCAGCGGTGACACTGAGGTGTTTAAAAACTCCAGCAGCACTGCTGTGTCTGATCCACTCAGACCAGCGCAACACACACTAACACACCACCACCACGTCAGTGTCACTGCAGTGCTGAGAATGATCCACCACCCAAATAGTACCTGCTCTGTGAGGGTCCATGGGGGTCCTGACCACTGAAGAACAGGGTAAAAGGGGGCTAACAAAGTACGCAGAGAAACAGATGGACTACAGTCTGTAATTGTAGAACTACAAAGTGCACCTATATAGTAAGTGGAGCTGATAAAATGGACAATGAGCGTAGAAACAAGGTAGCTAGTATAGATTAAAGTTGAAAATCCACACTTTGAACAAACTTTCTCTGCTGAGAATGAATTAACATAGAATGACCTCATACTTTTATTATCACTGTTTATACCTTCAACTTAAAGAACCTCCTTACAACGTAAACCTTCAGAACCAGTTAAAGGTCATTCCCAGACTTTCCAGGCCAGGAGTCTTTATTTTTTAGTGCGTCTTTAGTGCGTCTTTATTTTTAAGTGCGTCTGAGGTTGGGGGAGATAAACACAGCGGGGGTGGGGGGTCGGAGGGGGGTGCAGAGGGTCGATGAGGAAATGCATCGCAGTGAAAACACATCAGCTCTGGCTCGGACTTCAAAGCAGGCTGATTGAGTAAAGGTGGAAAACGCGTTAGTGTTGGTGTGAAATGACTGAGGAGGAGACGCTGCCAGTCCTGCTGCTTCAGCCGAACAGCTTCATACACGTCACTAATGTGCACACAGAGCAGCGCTGAGAAACACGGCTGTAACAGGTTCTCTCAGACAAGCAAAGGTCTCTCTCTCTCTCTCTCTCTCTCTCTCTCTCTCTCTCTCTCTCTCTGTCTCTCTCTCTCTACCTCTCTCCCTTTTCCCCCCTTTCTCTTTCTTTCTCTCTCACTCTCTCTTACTGTATCTCTCTATCTCTGTCTCTCTTCCTCTCTCTCTCTTTGTCCCTCTTTCTTTTCCTTTCTCCCTCATTCTCTTTCTCACTCCCTCACTCTTACTTTATTTCTCTTCCTCTCTTTCTTTCTCTCTCTCCCGCTTTCCCTTTTTCTTTGTTTCTCTCTCCCTCTCTCTTACTTTATCTCTCTCTTCCCCACTCTTTTTCTCCTTCTCTCTTGCTTTATCTATCTTTCTTCCCCCCTTTCTCTTTCTCTTTCCTTTTCCCTGTCTTCCTCTTTCTCTTTTTCTCTTTTTCTCCTTCTCTCTTGCTTCATCTATCTTTCTTCCCCCCTCTCTTCCTCTTTCTCTTTCCTTTTCCCTCTCTTCCTCTTTCTCTTTTTCTCCTTCTCTCTTGCTTTATCTATCTTTCTTCCCCCTCTCTTCCTCTTTCTTTCCTTTTCCCTCTCTCCCTCTCTCTCTTTCTCTTTTTCTCTCTTCCCCCCTTTTTTCTTACTTTATTTTTTATCTTTCTCTTTAACCTCTCTCTCCTTCTTTCCCTCACTTTTACTCTGTCCCTCTATCTCTCTCGTTCTCTGTCTCTCTCTCATTCTCTTTCCCTCACTTTTACTTTCTCTCTCTCTCTCCCTCTCTCTCTCATTCTCTCTCTCTATCTCTCTCTCTCTTGTTCAGTCTCTCTCTCTCATTCTCTTTCCCTCACTTTTACTTTCTCTCTCTCCATCTCTCATTCTCTCTCTTGTTCAGTCTCTCTCTCTCATTCTCTCTCTCTCTCTCTCTCTCTTTCTCTTTCCCTCACTTTTACTCTTTCTTTCTCTATCTCTTTCTCAGTCTCTCTCTCTCTCTCTTTCTCAGTCTCTCTCTCTCTTATTCTCTCCTTTTTTCTCCTCACTTTTACTTTCACTTCCCTCTATCTCTCTCTCTCTCTCTCTCTCTCTCTCTCTCTCTCTCTCTCTCTCTCTCCCCCTCTGTCCGTCAGTGGAGGGTCTGTTGGTTAGTGTTGAATAAATAGAGGTGATTGTGGTTGTTTATTGGTGTGACTCTCTAATGTAGTTATATGTAAAGCAAAATGAAAATGTTTCTTTAAACCACAGAAACGCAAGCAGCTGTTACTGCATCTCACAATAAGCAAAACAGCGACAGCTAACCAGACATATTTCAAACAGAGAAGTTGAGAAAACTGTGCAAAGTGATACTGTATTAAATCACATACAGCAAAATCACAAAGATAAATCACTGAATCAGCCCAGCGGTCAGATAGATCACCTCCTACACTCAACACACCGGACACAAGTCCTCAACCTGGTCCACTTTTGTCCACTTTTATTTTATTAAAAAATGAAATCATTTTAAATATCTAATATTCTCATTTTGAGATGGTTTAGGAAAATTCTAAGATTGTTTATTACTATCATTATTATTACTATTTTTTTTAAATATTATTTTGATAATATTTTTCACTTGTTTTGAGTGAATTTCTTACCATGTTGGCAGATAATTGTCCTTGTTTCAAACATATTTTTTAAAATAAGCTAAATTATCTGTGGGTACAGTGAGATAGTAACATGACTGCAGAGCTGATCTGATAGGTTTGTTGTTGTTGTTGTTGATTTTCAGACATTGACGAGTGCAGTATAAACCGCGGCGGCTGTAAGTACGGCTGTGTGAACACACTGGGCAGCTACGAGTGTACCTGCCCACCAGGACACAAACTGCAGTGGAACAGGAAGGACTGCATTGGTATGGCTGCACTGACACCTAGTGGCCACCTTGGACATTACATCAGAGTGGGATTAGCCACTGAGCAGGAGATTCAGACTCTCTCAGTTTCCTGAACTTTTCTAGTGTATAATAATTAGTTCAGATTCAGTTAGAGTCAGTTAGAGCCTCAAGATTTACTCTCTAAAGTGATTTATAGACTGAATGTTAGAGCAGAAAAGCATGATGTTGGAATTATTTGACTCAAACTAATCTGTTAACGTATGGAGTCCCATTCCTGACAGACACAGGAGAAAAACATCAACTGTTCAGCATTTTGAGAAATTAAGTCATTATTTTGAGATACTAAGTCAACATATTGAGAAAATACATTATTTTTGAGGTACTAAGTCAATATGTTGAAAATATAGGTCATTATTTTGAGATAGTAAGTCTACATTTTGAGAGAATAAGTCATTATTTTGACATACTAAGTCAATCATTAGAATATATAGGTCATTATTTTGAGATACTAAGTCTACATTGTGAGAAAAAAAGTCATTATTTTGAGATATGAAGTCAACATAGTGAGAAAAAAGTCATTATTTAAAGAAAATAAGTCATTAATTTAAGATACTAAGTCAACATTTAGATAAATTAGTCATTATTTAGAGAAAATCAGTCATTAATTTAAGATACTAAGTCAACATTTAGATAAATTAGTCATTATATAGAGAAAATAAGTCATTAATTTAAGATACTAAGTCAACATTTAGATAAATTAGTCATTATTTAGAGAAAATCAGTCATTAATTTAAGATACTATGTCAACATTTCGATAAATTAGTCATTATTTAGAGAAAATAAGTCATTAATTTAAGATACTAAGTCAACATTTAGATAAATTGGTCATTATTTAGAGAAAATCAGTCATTAATTTAAGATACTATGTCAACATTTCGATAAATTAGTCATTATATAGAGAAAATAAGTCATTAATTTAAGATACTAAGTCAACATTTAGATAAATTAGTCATTATTTAGAGAAAATCAGTCATTAATTTAAGATACTATGTCAACATTTAGATAAATTAGTCATTATTTAGAGAAAATAAGTCATTAATTTAAGATACTAAGTCAACATTTAGATAAATTGGTCATTATTTAGAGAAAATAAGTCATTTTAAGATACTAAGTCAACGTTTTGAGAGAATAAGTCATTATTTTGAAATGTTAAGCCCATATTTTGACAGACTGCTTCCAGAAACGAGAAGGAGAATGAAAGTGTGATGTTTTCTCCTCTGTCTGCAGGACTGACCCTTCATAGTTGCTGATCTGTTCTAAAGGCCTTTGCCTGTCTGTCTGTTTATATTGAAGTGTGCTCCTTACTGATTAATACTTTGTACTGAAGTGTGTTTTGTTGATTAATATGAAATCATTGCTGTCTAAAGTGTCTAAGTGCGTTTTCTGTGGTCACAGAGGTGGTGAAGTGTGCGTCCAGTCTGGTGGCTCCTAAAGCCACGCTGTCCTGCAGCAAGACGGGCTGCTCCCTCACCTGTGCGTCTAAAGCGCACTACCTGGCAGGTACACACTGCAGAAACACCTTTCTGAAACTATGAGCCCCACGCCAGTCTCCAGTGATTTAAGGCATCTGCTTATCTTAAAGGGGAATACCACCAATTTTTAAAAATTCCGGCATAATTCCATTGTTGAGCAGTAAACCGTGTCATTCAGAGTAGTTTGATGTGAAACGGTTTCATTGTAGAGAAACTTACTGTCTCAGATTTCTTTACAGTGGTGGTGAAAGGAACCCGGGGGTCGCAATATCTGCAACACGAATATAACCATTTTATTTACTATCTGAAATGACCAGTAAACCTACATGTGTCTTCTGTGAGACTTCTGTGAGGAGCTTTTAGTGGCATTAAACTCTTCAGACGCTTGGTTCCTACCACCACCACTGAGAACAATTTGGATTCTGTAAGTTACTCTAGAATCAAACCACTGTGAATGACTTTGTTTTCATCATAAGGAATTGACTTATGTACACATTTTGAGCATTCAGTGGAATTCCTATTTAACTCAGCTCTAATAAGCTTGCGTTTTCTGTGTTTATACACTCTGAAGTTATATGACTACGCTATAGTACAGTCAATTTTGATTTATTACTGTATAACAGAAAAAGTTTATTGTCAGTATTCTGATATTATAATCATTTGAGTTTGTTTAACAGGATATAATGTGCTTGTACTCATTACGCACACTGTGCTCTTTCTGCAGAGTCTGACAGCAGTTACTCTGTTAGCTGTGGAGTTCCTGTACTACGAGGCAAAGGCCAAAGCAAAGCTAACTCCAGCAACAGCCAAGGCTGCATAGGTATCAGCTGAACAACACACTCATCATGTTCTCCAGTTGACCCTTGTGTGGTGTTCAGGTCTGTAGGACCCATTTTCAGTGTTTACCAAACAGTGAACAGTGTCTTCACACTGTTCACCCCCCACACATTTACATTACACATGGTGTTGGGGAATGGAAGTGTGAAGGTGCTGTGTCCTTCACTCTGTTCTGCTCCTACATGGTCTGCTGTTAGTGTGTGTGTGTCTGTGTGTGTGTTTGTATATGTGTGGGTGTGTGTGTGTGTGTGTGTGAGGGTGGACAACATAGACAGGCTGCTGATTGGCTACAGCTGCTAAAGGAGAACCCTACGCTGGCCACTCGTGATATTTTAAACATGGTATTGTTACATAAATTGTTATGACTGTATTGATTTAAAAAAAAACAATAATGTGGTGGGTCCACCAGACCACTGAGTAACAAACACATCAACACCACACAAGGGTTAAACTGACCTGGACAAATCTGTACTCATTATAAGCATTACCTTTCTTCCTCTTCAATGCACTCAATAAGAATAAAAATCATTGTTCTCAATGGGCCTCATTCACCAGTATCTTCCTATGTTTTTTCATAAATGTGTTCCTGAGAAGGTCCTAAGAAAAAGTCTGCGTCAGATTCATGACATGTTCTTAAACTGTAGAACTGTTCTCACCTTTGTGTTCTTGAGTGTGTTTAGATTCTGTTCTTACCTAAGAACAAATCCCAAATAAGAAAACACTGGTGAATGTCAGAATCTTCGTGAAAAGTGAGTAAGTGGGTTTTAAGATGAAATTCTTCTTAAGAACAGCTGGTAAATGGACCTTTTTTCAGCCATGTTTGTTCCATCATGTTTGCAATACTCAGAAAACTAATAATAGTTAAAAAAAAAGACAAAAATAAGACACAAAATGCAGCCTTTGCGTTATGGCACATTTATATTTTATGTTTTATTTTTTTCCAGTATGTTCAACTCAGCAAATAAACAGGAAATTGTGCCCTAAAATGACATATTTAAGTGAGTTCTGTGTAGAGGACAAATATAGCACTGAAATATGGCATTTTTCTGCAAAGTTTTATTTGACCAGGAGCACCCAAACTTTTGCATATGACTGTATTCTTTACAAAAGTATAGCAATGTAACATTTTTTGCCGGATCGTCCACCCCAAATGTAACGTGATTGGTCATTATTATTAGTTTATTATTAGTGATGCGCTGAATTGAAAACCCTTCACTGAAACCAAAACTGGAATTCAGGACACACTGAGCCAAACGTGAAAACTTAAAGAAAGCATTTTAATATGTAGTTTGCCACGTTTTTCATGCTTTTTAACGTTATAATGCTGATGATGTTCACTGTCCAGCAGTCTGAGGTTTTTCCACCAGGGGGTGCTGTGAGCGTGCAAGTGTCTTAAGAGTAGAATTTCTTTAAAGGTGCTGTGTGTAAGATTCAGTGTCGTCTACTGGTGAGGTTGCAGATTGCAACCAGCTCACCCCTCGCTTTCCAAGCGTGTAGTAATACCTGTGGTGGCTGCTGAGTTTTCACTTCTTTGACGATGAGGATTCACCCTCCAGAGCTTTTTCTTGTTCTAAATAATAAATATGATTCTTCATTTGTCAAAATGTGGGTTCTCAAACTTTTCACAACACAAAGTGGTTAACCAGCACCAGCAGCAACCACTGATTCTTCCTCTGTCTGCATCTTCCAGCTGGTGCTACAGCGGCACCAAATTCAAGCTTCCGCTTCAATGTAAAAACAGGAAAGATGTTCTCTAGAGCAGTGTTTGGTTTGTCTGTTGTGCTGTAGAAACATGGCGGCCTCTGTTGGAGGAGGACCCGCTCCCTGTGTAGATATGAAGGGCTCCTTCTAAGCTAACGAAAACACAGTGATTCGTAGTTACAGGTGATTATACACTGATGAAAACATGGTTTTTATAAACTATATTCCATTTATGCTAATAGACCCTCCTAAATCTTACACACTTCACCTGTAAATCAGTTAATGCTAAAAAGAATGCAAGTCACAGACAGAGTGAAACCGAGGTCTCTGTTGATCTTCTACTGTTCCAACTGTTTGAATGAATGAAACAGCATTTTTAATCTTTAATTTCTCATTTTCATTTTCATTCAAATTATTTATTAAATTGATTAAATTTTTGGCTGAAATTTTTGGTGTCTAAACTTTTGTTGCACCCCTTTTAAATGTATTTGATGAATGGGCTTTGTTTGTAAAAGAGGAAGCTAATGCTGTGTTTGTTTGTCTGTAGAGACTCTGGCTCCTCCAGTGAAGCAAACAGCCTCGTTCCGAATCAAAAACGCCAAGTGCCACCTGCACCCCAAACTCAGGGGACGAGCAGAGGACGGAGGCAGGCAGATTGGACCAGGTAAGAGGTCACAGTTCACAAACTGGGGCCTACAAACATACTGAACATGGTTGAATTAAGAGGACATTGTAGTTTTAATAACTGTTTACAACTTTAGTCAAAATAAAAGAGATTGAGTTAACTAAAAAGTTTAACTGTGTCATGTCACCTTTCATTTTATATTGTAACACCTGTTGAAATAACCGTATAGTGATACAATCACAACATGATCTCTTGCAGCCCTTGTACTGATAGCGGTTTATTTCCAGCCTGTTACAGTGAATGAAAAGGTTTTTATAATTTAGATAACTTGACTTAACTTATCCAGTAAGTACTATTCAGTAACTTCTGTTAATCATACAGTACGTTTTATGTACATGACTAATATGCAGAGTTGTGTGCAAAAGTTTTGGCACCCCTTGGTCAAAGTACAGTGCTCTCTACATTTTAATACACAACTACTGTTTATTTGCTGAATTTTACATTTTGGAGGGGGGGAATAAAACATAAACTTTGGCCTGTGAAAAAGTTACAGCACTTTTTATTTTTTATCGTTTTATTTTTTTACATGTTCAACTCAGCAAATAAATAGAACTTGTGCACTAACACATGCAGAAAAATACCATATTTAACTGTGTTCTCTGTAGATGATGTAATTTGACCGGAGTGTTCAAACGTTTGCATACACTGAACGTTGAAGTGCTTCTCAGAGTTTAACGGGTTAACTGTTTACAAGGGCCTAATGAGTTAATGGTGTAACAATTCATTCATGTTTTCAGTGCATTGATTGGAATTCCTACACAACTGTGCCCTCGTAAAATTAAATAGATAAATGGTCTAAAATAGATTTGGATGGTGCCCTATAGATGATCTACAGATGCTTATATTCTTAACATATTGTCTTGTGATACTCAGTTGATTATCAACAGCATTAGGGATTAGATTAGGTTGAGGAGTAGGTGTAGGTTTAACCTTGAGGTTAGGTTTAGGATAAGGGAATGATTTAATAGAATCTTTCACACGCAACTTTAAGTTCAGTTGCACTTAATAGATATTTTGTTGAATGTTAGTTAAAGATAGACTGAGCATCTTCGAAGCATCTACAGTGGACCATCCAGATAAAATGTTACTAAATATCAAAATTGAATGAATCACACAGCCCTGTTTGATATGTCATTCTCTGAAGACTTCAGTGCCTTTTGGCACAAGAGTGGCTCAGACAGTGTTCACAACCTATATGGAGGAAATAAACATTACTAAAGTAATTTGACTGGTTGCATTTTTTGCCTGATAAATTTTAAGGGCAGTCTTATAGGAATACTTTTAATGCATTATATTATTTCTTAAAGAAGCTCAAATCATTTGTTTTAGTGTACTGAGTTGAATCAGATTGTTCTTAACTTAAAATACATCACTTTTTAATCAAATTCATCTTTCAACTGTCAGCTCAAAAATTTACATGGTTATTAATGGCTTAATAGCTCAAATTAGCGGATCGTTTGTTGCCTTTCTGTTAGCACGTGTGTTTCTCAGTGTGTTGATGATGCCTGACTGTGTGGCCTACAGGTGGTCAGCTGTGCAACAACTGTCAGGTCACCTTCGTCAACCTGAAGTGTGACTCCTCCAAGAAGGCCAGAGGGCGGCGCACGCGTAACCCGTCAAATAAAGAGATTACACGCATCACTCTGGAGCTGGAGGCAGAGGTTAAACCGGGGGACACTACCGGTGAGACCACAGCATAGCATTAAACACACCCTCTCAGAATGGACACTGGAGGAACAGTTAGTGAATGTGCATTGTAGGTCAAAATTAGGGATACTCCACTGCAGGATGGTTGAGAGGCGAAGCCTAAGGCTCATCACAGTAACAAAAACACTATGCAGTTTCATAATGATTAGCCCTTAATCATAGCTCATTAAAACAAATGGAGAAATTCTGTTGAAAGTGCAGATTCTAAACTTTTAATCCACACTGCATTTGTGTTTGTAAGTAGAAAAGGAGATATTTTATCACGAATTCAGTTTGATAAAAAAGTTATTGTTGCAGAATCCTTTATATTTTTGTCATTAAAACAGTGTGACTAGATTATTTTGGTACGATTCAGAACTGTTTTTATTTCAAATTTATTTCCCAGTAGTGGAATATAAAAAAAATACACCACATATTTTTGGTTGTGAAGCCATGAACTCATAGACCTGGCTTGTAACTCACTTGCTCACGTTTAGCAGGCTGAAGATCCTCCACAAGGGGGCACTATTAACATAAATGTAGTTTTTGGTGCTTAAAGAGTGGTGCTATATATCACTAACACTGTGTCCCTGTTATTCTTTTATTAGTTTGAAATTAGAACAGGAATTTTATTTGGACTAAAATGCAAGCATCTTATATTATTATATAAATTCTTAATTACATTATGCATATTTATTTATTTAGTGTAGTATGTTGTCCCTGTCAGAGCATATCTTGAGAATTTGAAAATGTCCTTTACAATGTGATACAATTTTATGATTGGACCAATAGAAATTCTCCCAAAATCTTGTTCCGTTCACAGTTAAGAATCCTTATTCCTTCTCCAGTTAAGTTACCGTTTTGGAGAGACGAGGTTGTGAAAATAAGTAAATACACCCTCTACAAACCTAAATATGGTATTGTACTGCAAATTTTAGTGCACAATTTCTCTTTATTTGCTGAGTTTAACATGTTGAGAAGTACTAAAGTATAATCATAATCAATCAATCATATTTGATTATAATATTCCAAAGCTGATGCAGCTAAATTGGTGCCAACCCCTCCTATAACAGCCTAAAAAAGAGGGGAGGGTCCTTTTAGATGGTGATTCACAGTCATAAGTTACTGTGTCAGATTGTCTGCAGCAGGTGAGCAGTGATGCAGTTGTGTTTGCGAATTTGTCCACTTTCATTCTAAACACTGTCCCTCCTGCTGTGTCCTGCTGAAGGGAGCTGTGACCTGAGCTGTGTGAGGAAGCAGATGGAGCAGAAGATGAAGTCCTCCATCAAAGCGCTGAAGAAGTCCATTAATCAGGAGAGGTTTCTGATCCGCGTGGCGGGGCTGGAGTATGAGGTGGCTCAGAAAGGGGCCACGGATAAACACGAAAACTGCGGCCCGGGGAAAGAGAAGGACAGCGGCCGCTGTGGTAAGAGCATCACTGTGTGGCTGAGTGGGGCTCAAGATATGCCACAAATAGGCCTGGGTGGGCAGACTGATCACAGGCTCACCCAATCAAATGAGGACAGAATATTTATTAAACTGCATTTTTAGGATAATGAAGTTTGTTTTTTGAGATGTTAGTATTATGGCCAATCAAATTCTCCACCAAGCTCCACCTTATTTTCTCAGTCCTCCAATCACTGCTTAGCAACCATTGCTATCCTTCAATTCGTTATCTGTGCACCAGTGTTTGAATTATAAGCTCTAGTTGCAGTAATAGGGAGAACCTTTACCTGATTTTCTATGCATTTTTAAAGGCAAAAACAAATTTTTATAATGTCTTTGCCTGATTTTATTACGTTGCGGGACACTTTTTGCAGGACACATTTTTTACACAAATACGTGTTTTCGCCTGTGTCACAGGATTGCCTATTTGAAAATATGAGACATTCTGGCTATTCAGTTTATTATGAGTTAATTTTTGATGCTATGCAGTTTTCTAAGCTCTGCATACAGCTAAAATTTGCTCATGTTTATCAGTTAACAGCACCCTATAAATTATTTGAAACCTGGTGGTGGCAGCACCGGAGTATCGTATCAGAATTATTTTATGCATTTATCAGAAGCTAACAAAATTTTTAAAAACTAATTTTAGTTCAGTTATTAGTTACTTTATACGTTATTTTTAATGTCACTGTAACAAAAAACATATAATGTCATATATTTCAAGTACAGTAATACGTGTGAAACAGTAAAGAAACGATCACTTCAGAGATGCAGTGTTTTTTCACGACATCCAGTCACATCAGTAGTAGTGTGTTGTTCAGTTAGTAGTGGTCTCACTGTGTCCCCCTGCTCCTCTCAGTCAGATGTTTGCCCGGGTCGTATTATCATGGTGAGATGGAGCGCTGTGTCCAGTGTCCTCCTGGAACCTTCCAGGAGCGTGAGGGTCAGCTAGCCTGTGACCTTTGCCCTGGAGGAGATCGCCACGGCCCACCAGGCGCCCGCAACATCACTTCCTGCTCAGGTAAACGAGGCCAACTGGGGACAAACCTCAAGTGGCTTTCTCTTAAAGATGATTACTAAAGTGATCACATCACAAACTTTGCTGATTCTTTAAGGTTGTTTTTTTTTTTTTTAAATATGGTCAAAACAAAAAAACAGCAAAGCTGAAGGAGCCACACTAGATAAAAAACACTTAAACTTAATGTCTAATAGCGCTGTACAGAGGAATGTGTTTTATTATTGACAGCTGAGGGGAAATCAGTTGGTGTTTGGATTGGATTAGTAATTGACGCCGCCTCTTAAGATGAGCTAATGAGCTCACGCTGGATGCTGATGAGGATATTTTCTCTTTAGTGGACGATGTGCCAAAATATATTTTCACTGAGTGTGTTTACATGCACTTAATAATCCGTTAACTGCAGAAAATCTGATTTTGTCTACATGAGTCAAGCAGTAATCAGATTTCTGCTTTACAACCGGCTAATAAACTCACAGAAGAAGACGTGACGTAAACGTAACATAAAACTCGCCACGGCTTTTTTAAAAACATCGCACCACTTTACCTGAAAATACAAACATAAATCATCTAGAAAATAAAGAATATTTAAAGCCTTCATTTCATCAAGAACATAGTTGGTTTCAGTGTCACTCCAAAAGTGTTTTGCTGCTCGCTTATTTTCCGGTACAGCAGTCTGTTCCACACACACGCAGACTGAGAAATCCGAAAGAAATCAGAGTAAGAGTTTACATGCACTGAGAAATCTGATTACTGAGCTAAAATCCAGCTCTCTTTAGTGGATTTCTTAATCAGATTTCTACAGATTTTTAGAGTATGGTGTTTACATGACCATTTGAATAATCAGATAACTACAGAAGTCCAGTTATGATCGGATTATTGAGTGCATGTAAACAACTCATTGTTTCTGGACTTGTTCAGATCAGCTAGAAACGTTAGCCTAGCCATGCTGTCTCTGTCTTCTTAGTCACGTCCTTAACAGCACTCTTTTACTGATGTAATGTAACAAGAACCTTAATAGTGATTTCAGTATTTGAATACTGGCATCTCTAACAGTTAACTGACTCCTCAAGTACCTGCGCACATCCCCATTATCTAGATTATCGTATCTTACCAAAGAAAATAATCAGTTTAAGAAAGTCTTTTGAAATAAGCATTTAATTAGATTTTCCTCAGAAAACCACTCAACAACTCGCAAAATTTCAAAAATGACTAATTTGATTATTTTGGTACCATTCATATATGACTTAGATATATTTATACAGTAGTGTGATTTGGACTTTATATGTTTGAAAATAGGCAAAGAATTGTATTTTGGCCAAAATCATACTTACTATTGTTATTATTTGGCTGCGTTCACATTGATGGCATTTTCACAGCTGTGGTGTTTAAGCTAAAGCTTTAGTTCAGATTTGTGCTGTTGTCTGATTCCAGGTCAGTGTTCACCTGGTCATTACTCGGGTGATGGCTTTAAGCCGTGCCAGCCCTGCCCTCGGGGCACGTACCAGCCGGATGGTGGCAGGACCCTCTGCTTCCCCTGCGGAGGAGGACTCGACACCAAGAAAGAGGGAGCCGTCTCCTTCCACGACTGTGAAGTTAAGGGTCAGTCTTGACTTGGTTTATTACATGACTATAGCCACCCTAATGACTCTGTCAGCATGACAAGTGACCAGGGTATACATGAAAAGTGACCACCATCGAGTTCCTGTAGCCTCCCATTCCAATTAATATATAATTGTGATGGTCTGATTTTTTTTTGACACGGTCGATAGATTGTTATCTGTAAAAAAAAATATATATATTTTTATAGATAACAGTGTGTCATACAGTGTCCGAAACTACACAAGCAAGTCTATTAGACATTATGAAAAGGCAAAAAATCTAACTTCTACAGATGTAGTTAATCAGTCAAGACAAGAGTCTGAGTCATAATTTTGCTTTTTTTAGTTTAGGACTGGATCTGTGAGGCTAGTGCTGCTAACAAACAATAGAAGTCAATAGTCACCCAAATAGCCCAAATCATTTCTGTAAAAGTACACCCCCCAAACTTCTCTCAGCTGCACAAACCACATCCAGGTATTCATTAAGGCCATGCAGACGTGTTGCTGTGGTTTAGAACACAGTTTGACTTTTTACTGTTTAATAGAAAAATGATCAAAACTCCAGGCAGCCACTTCACATCACAGTCTGTACTTGAATACCACCTCAAGAGTCGGAGTGCTGATCTAGAATCAGTATTTTTGACCTTGACCATCATAAATACAGAGGAATTAGATCCAAGATCAGCCTTGCTGTGTGACTATCAGCCCTGGTGTTGTTTAAAGTGGCTGCCTGTAGCGGCGAAGTTTTATTCATTTTTACAGCTCACAGTAAGTCTTACTGTGTCCTAAACCATTTCGCCAAGTGTGCACAACCTCAGTGAAGATCTGGAGGCAGATTGAGAGACGTTTTGGGGATGTATATTTACAGAAACAATTTGGGCTATTTGGGTGACTATTGAGTTCTAGTGTTAGCAACATTAGCAATGTAGCTCCAGCTCTGAGCTAAAAGGGCAAATTTGGACGGGACTACATCTGGGTAGGTGGAAAATTGTTTAGGCAAGTGTGAGATGGTTTAGACCTGCAGTTTACATGGTGCTAGTTGCTAACTGTAAAGTGTAAGACTAAAGCTTCAGACACCAAACATGTCTTGACTGACATCTGCAACCACATTTGAATTAAGGGCAATATTGTGTAAATGTGATTTCCTTTATAGTCTCACTCAGGAATGACCTCTGCGGGAACGATGGTAATCCATTCTGTAACAACAGTAATCCAATAATAATGCACATAAACTGTACACTGTAGTTTTGGAATTACTGTGGAATTCCTGATTGACTGCGGCTTTAATGAAAACTGACTGTTGTGATTGAACGTTCCGTGTTCACTGTTGCAGTGTCTTGTGCGGCGGGACATTACTACAACACCTCCGTCCACCGCTGTATCCGCTGTCCTGTGGGCACCTACCAATCAGAATTAAAACAGAACTACTGCATCTCCTGCCCTGGAAACACCACCACTGACTTTGATGGAGCCACCAGCGTCTCTCAGTGCAAGAGTAAGCCTGTCTTACAGTTTTACTAGTTACTGTGTTCACTACGTGTGTCCAGCGCTGCTCTTGGTCATCTGTCACCCTGTAGAGTTCCAGTCCCAAACTAACACACCTGGCTTCACAATTCAGATGCTTTTTAAAACCTCTACTGTCGTCATTTAGAACTTATCTATTTTAATAATATAAACCAGTTTGGTTACAGACACTGTCATGTGCGAAAGTTGGAACACCCCTGGTTAAATTACATGTTTTGTTGACTTTCTAAGTGGCACATTGTCTGCAAGGAACACACTTAAATATGACATTTTCTGCAAGTTTTAGGGAAAAAAACAATAACTTTTTCCCAGTCTGCATTTTGTTTTATTATTTTTTTCAATATGTTTAATTCAGCAAATAAACAGTAATATTGTAACACAATGTGCAGAGGTGTGGTCTCTGTAGAGGATGTGTTCACTTTGAAAATTTTCACTTAGAAAATCAACAAAATATGGAATTTTGACCAAACACTTGCATTTGATTTTACAAGTGAATCCACTGTAATGTTACTTCTCTACTTCACAGCTTTTAAATAATGAATAAGAAACTGTAAAAAAGGAAGAAATGTTAGATGTGAACATTAAGAATGAAGTTATAATAAAATGAATATCCACAATGCCTCATATTTCAAAAGTGGTCATCAGATCTCAAAGCAGATAACATAACAGACAAAAAGCTATAAGTGGTCAATCACAATATATCCATTAATAACTTCTTGTTGTTTCCCAAATACTCGAAATAATCTTGTTTATAAGTTACACTGGATATCATAGAATAATAATGTACAGTACACTGTATACTATAGAATAATGACTTTTAGACAGTAGTGATCTGCATCAGTTATGTCAGCCATGCAGTGGAACAGCAGGAGTGTACAGGTCCAGATCCACAGTTCACACAGTAAAGAGAATCAATAGCGATTCACGATACATGTAAGCAGCTTTCTGCAGTGGCCATTCTGGTAGAATTTGAAATTGTTTTTAATAAAAATGATCAAATAAAATATTTGTCCCCTGTAAATAAGTTCAACAAGGGCACTGTTGTGGCACTGTTGTGTTGAGCTGCTAGTGAGCAATGGGGATGAGATCTTCCGCTGTGAAAACGGTTCACATTTCTCCACGACGTCTCCACATTTCTTTATGTCAAAAAATCATGTACAGCTTCCACAATATAAACTAGCATTTCAACACAGTAAAAACATGTTTATGAATGTTGACATGCTCACTCTCCCTTCAAATACGTAAATCCAGTCCAGTTCTGGTTTTGTAGATCATATTTCCATCTAGTTTCCCCAACACTGGACATCGTTTTACCCAGAAAACAGATCAGGTGTATTTATATTTTTAAAGCCTCAACAGCAAGTTGGGATGATAATGTTTGGGATGAGCAAACACCAAAATATAAAAGACAACAACTAAAGGTTTTTAGAACCGAACTAAACCAAAGCAACGCTGTGTCGCTGCTGCAAAAACCAGGAGGTCTTAGAAAAAAGGCGCTCATCCCCAAACTTTATCAAAATATTCACAGTTTCACAAGGTCTAATAAAGCTTTCATGACTTTAAACCTCATTACATATTAAGGCTTGACTGCAGACACTTCAATGCAATTTGTGTAATAAAGTGTGTAATAAAACTTTGGGCTCATGGCTTTGTAAGGGTTTAACAGGGGAAACGAAGCAGAACAGAGTGAAGAGTGATGGACAGATGTACTTCCAGGTCACATCAGAGGGGAGAGAGCCCTGAAGGTCCCTGCACAGTTTTGGAGATCATCCACGTTTCAGTTTCAGTTTCAGTTTATGACTTCCATGAAAAGGAACTAAGTGGCCTCAGTAAAAACTTTAACAGCCATAATGAACTATACAGACATGTCATTTATCAGGATTCTCTGTTATGGATTGTTTTTCACTTTACTTTTTCATAAATGTTCTTTATTTAATCCTGCTTGGTGGCTGAGGCTGAGGTTTCTATCAGAGCCCTGAACATAAAATCTTTACTAAGAGAATCTGCTGGCTGAGTGGACAGACTGCTGGGTTTCTTCTAATCTGTCTAAACTCTGCAGTGATGTCTATTTACTCTCCCCGTTCCAAGTCAAACATGAATGATTGGAACGCTGAGTGCGCTAAGAGAGAAGCCCAGCGAAACTAATAGAAAAATTCCTGTTTTGTCCAGCCAAACGCAAACATGTTTGTTTTTCATTGGCTTACTGGCTCACCAATCCAGACATACTGTCAAACTGTCCTGTAACTGTCTCTTGTGCGTGTGTTTGTGTCTGTGTGTGTATAGACAGGGAGTGCGGAGGTGAAATCGGAGAGTTCATCGGGTACATCGAGTCTCCCAACTACCCTGGAGATTACCCTGCTAACGTGGACTGTATATGGACCATCAACCCCCCCAGCAAGCGCAAGATTCTCATCGTGGTGCCAGAGATCTTCCTCCGTTCCGACGATGACTGTGGAGACGTGCTGGTGATGAGGAAGAACTGTATGTGTCTGAAAGTGGTGGCTACCAAGATTCACCCAACTTAGTCTGAACAATATTAACAGAGATAATAGATGACCGCAAAGTCTGTCTGTAGATTATTTCCACACACGTCTGGACAGCGTTCTTTATTAAAACAATCACTTAAATCACTAAAAATGTTTGTGAGTTCAGACCATGCCTTCAACATGTGGTGGTAGTATGAGGGAAGATTGATTGAGGGAGGTTGGGCTGGAGTTCTGGGCAGCTTCTGCCTGTAGCTAGAAGGCCAGACCTCCCCTCATAGCTGTAGTAGGACTGATGTAGGACTGAGGAACAGGGAGGAGATGGGGTGGCGGTGGGCACTGAGAACACTTTGTCACGGGAGCAGAAGGTGAGGATGTGAATTTATAGGGCGTTAGATTGGAGGGAGGAGGGGTTTCCGCCATGCTCCTCCCCCCAAACTTCAGTTAGAACGTAACTACGTTTATCTTGGCCAGTGAAATTATCTTACATCAGATTTAATCTAATATTTCTCATTTTGAGACAAACAAAATTAGCAATAGTGCAGGATAAATCCACTTAATAAAATCACTTACAACAAGTACAAATAGGAAATAAGTTAAATACCTAAACACAGTAGTAGCGGCCATCTTGAAGCCTCATTTTCCTTCTTAGCAAATATTTTGGTTTCAGACGAGACCATCTGTGTACAGCTATTAAGGTTTGGATTAAGGATGGACTCATATAGGTATTATTAGAATTAATCATATTGCATATGATGTTTTCTGTGCACATATCTGATACTGATCATACACATTCATATAGAAATTGGGCCTAAATTCACCTGAGTTAGCATTATGGAACAATGTAACATTCATTTCTATAGAGATATTGTGAAAAAAATGAATGAAAAGCAGATATTTTAGCGCAGTAACCCTAAGCATTTTATCACCCACAGGGTCAGTGACCTCCATAACCACCTACGAGACGTGTCAGACGTACGAGCGGCCCATCGCCTTCACAGCTCGCTCTCGACGCCTCTGGATCAACTTCAAGTCCAACGACGCGAACAGCGCTCGCGGCTTCCAGATCCCTTATGTCACTTATGATGGTATGTCTGTTTGCTTTCAGTCAGGCTGTCGAGCAACTTTGTGAACACTTCATAGAGCGCACTACTCAAAACCTGCACTCCCGCGCAAAAAAATGAGCCACGCCCAAAATATAATGGTTTTTACTGATGGTTTTGGCTGGTTAGAGTCCAGATTTAAACCCTTATAGAGAATATTTGGTCTCACATTAAACCAAAAACAGCTCAGCAGTGTTTTTCAGCTTTTTGAAGCCATCAATGCTGAAGGGAACAATACTACTCTTCTTTCTGTAAAAGGCTGTCAACAGGTTTACACACAAGACTTCAACAATTTAAAGAAATCAAGGGGAAAAGCTCTCCCATAATAACTTACTGTATCTGTTTAATAATTTGCTGTTAAGACCTTTAAAAGCTTAGTGGAAGTAAATAAACAACTATTAAGGCATACAGAAGGTCAGCTAAAACTGACTATATAGTGCTGTAGATTAGAGGTTCCCATTCACCAGGCTGCAACTGTGCAGCAGTGAATTCTTATTTTAGCTTCATTCTTGCTATTAAAATCATCATAACCTAATGTTATTTCATTTGAAACATCACATCTCTGTATGGCCTGTTTATGTGCAGGTTATTATTGGCTGCTTTCAGTTGATGGCTCACGTAAAGTTAAAAACAAAAAAACAGTTAAATGATGTTTTTTTAAATCTTGTTATTGATGTTAATCTTGTGTTTTTAATGTCAAATATGGTCAAATATAGATACATCTCTGCTAAGGATGCTAATGTGGCTAAACGGCTAGTCAGCTAACCAGCTAGCGGATGAGACTACGAAGCTGTGCTTTGCCATTTGGAGACAACACAGTCCTTGATAAGGGCAAAACATGGACCACTCATGTCCGTCAAAGCCGTTTTTTGGCTGTAGCTCAGTCTGTGCTGTTAGAAATGTTGGGAATAGATGGGATAGTTGGGATTTAGATGATTTTTTTTGTTACTATACTTACTACTTAACTAGGACACTCTAATGTGGCTAATATCAAATTAACCATTGCTTCACCTGTTTTCCCGCTTTGTACTATAATACTTTATACTAACAATGTTTTGCTATCTGGTGTCGACCAGAGGAGGATGGGTTCCCCTTCTGAGTCTTGGTTCCTCTCAAGGTTTCTCCCTCCTGCTCTTAGGGAGTTTTTCTTTGCCACTGTCGCCACTGTCGCGCTCATGGGGGCTTGGACCCGGATTTTTCTTCTTCTGTAATGCTGATTTTCTTTCTTTTTCTGTAACGCTGATTTTTCTGTGAAGCTGCTTTGTTGTAAAAAGCGCTATATAAATAAACTTTGCTTGCTCGCTAATAGTAAATGCTAAACCAGAGCTTACTGGATTTTTGACAATTTCTTGAGAGAGTTTTTCTTAAGAAACCGTTGTGTTTCAGAGGACTACGAGCAGCTGGTTGAAGACATCGTCAGAGACGGGAGACTCTACGCCTCTGAAAACCATCAAGAAATCCTGAAGGTTAGAACAGCTCTGTTAGATTAGATTAACTTTATCATCCACCGCAGGGGAAGTCTGTCCTTACCAAACAGGCAACACACAAGAGAAAATATCTAGTGTGATCTGAACACGACGCTTCCGCATCAACATCTTCTTACAGTTTTTCTCGATTGCTTACACACTGTTATTGTACACTGGAACACGATTCAAAATCTCTGACGTGGAGATGATGGGATATTTATTTCTTTACTGATGTATGTATTTAATTCTGAATTTAATTTTACATTTACATTCTACAAAGTTACAGTGGGGTGAATATTTTGTATGACTTACAGTAAGACATTTAAAACAAAACACTAAAACCACAAATAATGACGCCATCGTTGAATAATTCACTACATGTATATTAGTGTATTTTCATTGTCTCTAGTCTGCATGTCTGCATTGTCTTTAGTTGAAAGACAGCAGCAAATTCACTGTGACTCCATTGTGTTCTCAGTTCCTCTTTTCAGTGTGAAAAATCTGATTTTCTGTACTAATTCATACGATAGTGTTTGGTATTTTGATGTGAATATTTTATATTTAGGAGAATGTTCATGGCTTTGTAGCCAGAGGATCATGTTGCTCTCAGTATGGGAGAATTTGCTAAATATGTGTTTTCAGTGTGTGAGCATTTGAGAGACACTGCCCCAAAATATGCGTAAGCAACTGTAGTTTTCTAGTCTTCTGGATGAATAGGCAAAAATTCCCTCAGACACTCTCCAAAATCTTGTAGAAAGCTTCCCAGAAGAGTGGAAGCTGTTTTAGCTGCAAAGAGGGACCAACTCCATATTAATGCCTTTGGATTTAGAATGGGACGTCATAAAAGCTCCTGTAGGTGTGATGTGTAGGTGTCCCATTACTTTTCTCCATATTGTGTATGATTTTTGGCCCCACATAAACCTTCATCAGGCATGTTTCCCCTAACTTGGCTTGACCTGCTACCTTAAATCCTTCTCCACTGTCCACCATTGTTTCTCACCAGGACAAAAAATTAATCAAAACGCTCTTCGACGTGCTGGCCCACCCACAGAACTACTACAAGTACACGGCTCGGGATTCCAACGAGATGCTCCCGCGATCCTTCATCCGCCTCATCAGCAGCAAAGTCTCAGCCTTCCTCCGGCCATACAAGTAGCCAGAAACGTCCACCGGCATCATCCTCCGACCGCCTCTATTACCAGCCTTCAGTCTCCTTCAGTCGACTTAGCACACGTTTTATAAATCCAGTCATGGTTAGCAAAACTACACCTTGAGCAGCTTCGAAAACAGCGCACTATGCAGATCTACATCTACAACATCTGGCTTTTTATCCGTTTATTCTCATCAGTCATCTCCTCTAAGAAAAAGGGTATATATGTGTAGATGAGTTGAACAGAACCGTCTCCTCAAGTTGATAAATCGGGGAGGGTTTGTATGTTTGGTTCCTCTTTATGTGTCTGTCACCACTCTGTGTTCGTGTTTTTGTGTTTGTTTTAGTCATTTGAATGTTTGTTTGTTTGTTTGTTTGTTTGTATGCTGTCGTTCTCAGTCCTGACACCTCTTGCGGTGATGTTTTGTTTGGTGTGAAAGGGCTGGTGTATCCCGTACCACATAACTGCGTATGTGGAACCACAGTTTTGGCAAAAGAGGACGAGAGTTTTCTGTCGACAAAAGAAAGAAGTGCACTGAGAAAAGTGATGCGTAGAAATGACCGTATTACATCAGCGTAGGTTTGTCTTCCTGTTTGCTTATGTTGCCAGTAATTATGTGAAAGTACAGGACTGTGCAAAACTCAGACCCTTCATTTACTTTAATGTTCAGTCTGAGCAGCCATTAAGTACAGGCTGTTCACTTCTCACTGTCAGGAAACTAAGAAGAAAACATATTTAACAGAAAATGAAATATAATATGATTTTTTTCAGTAATTGGTGTGTCCACTCCACCTTTACTACAGCTTCCATTCTTTTCAGGAGACTTGCTTTCAGTTCAGGGATGTTTTTCCAGACCTCCAGAGTTCAGTCTAAGAAGTTGGTTGCATTTTCAACTTCTCACGATCCAAACAATCCCAAACACATTCAGTGATGTTGAGTCTGGACTCTGAGGTGGTCATTCCCTTGTTGTGAGAACACCAGCAGCTTCTTTGTTTGATGTGTCTGTATCTTTTCTCAGTAAGAGCTTCTTGAACAGCTACACATCCTTTCAGACTCATAGCGCTGAGTTGTCTTCTCACAGTGGAAGGATGGACAGAAACACCTGTGGATGTTTTCAGATCTGAAGCAGTTTGATTTTCTCCTCTCTCTCAAAGACGAAAGCTGTAAGTGCTGTTTATCTGACGGGGGCTTTTTGTTCCAGGTGGTTGTTAGGAATCTCACTTTTTCTGTGATCATTGCTTTTAATCATTTTTTTGAACTCCAGTTTTAAAACTCCTGCTTTTTTTTTCAATGATCTTTCTTCAACGTTCTCCTTACTTATGCAGGTGGATTAATCTCCTCAGAAACATCTCCTGAAAAGTGAATAACTTGTACTTAATGGCTGTTTCAACTGGAAGCTACATAAATGAAGGGCAGTCTCTGACTTTTGCACAGAACTGACTAATTAAACTGAATGCATCACTTTTCTCAGCATGTCTGACGAGGTGTGTGGAAGCTTAATAAAATGTGAGGTGCGCTTTAAAAATGGCTTATATTTTCTGTTCCATTTCTCAGAAAACCCCCTGCGAGTATCAGTTTTTCATATATCCATCCAGTAGCCTTGACATGCTCTCGCCAATTTAGACCTTTTGTACTTCATATCATACGTTCCATTTTAGTCTTGTACTATTTCAGCTCTTAGAGCACCTTTAATCTTTACTGCCATGCTGTTAAAACAGTAAATGTTTATGTTCTGTCTGTTCAGATTGTATTATTGTCCATTGCATATTCGTTCATTGCCTTATATTCAAGTTAATTTAACAAGGCGTAGAAGACGTAGAGCATTTTATTTCGAGATTGAAAAGAAAAGAGTTATGAAACGAGTTACGGTCAATGTTAAGAAACAGTGTTTAGTGAACACGTGCGTCAGTGGAGGAACGAGACGGATGTTTTGTTTTTGTTTTTGTTTTGCAGGACATGCGATTGCTGCTTCTTCAGAAATGTCACTTTAAACCTGCTACACTACATTCAAATCTTTTGGACTTTCCTCTCGGGCTCGACCGATACAAACGTTTTGTGGCCGATGTTGAGCTAAAAATACCGATAACCAATAATATCAGCCGCTATGATTTTACAGTTTCGATTTTAATGTTATACTCCAGTAGTTTCAGTTAAAGGGCTCATATCTTACATTTTTTCTCCCACTTCTAATGTTTGTGTGTTTTTATGTGCCAAAAACAGTCATAATTCAGACCATTTTTACACCCCTCAGAGTTAATCAAGCTGTTTTAGTTACTGTGCCTTTAAGACTGATATATGTAAATGAGCCAGGCTGAAACACTCCTTACAACTTCAGTGTGAATGGGCGGAGATAAATGACTGTAGGCTGAATAGGCCGATGTATGACATCACACAAACAGGCAGCAGAGTTTCTATATATGGACTGTATGAACTGAGAGGTGAATGGTGTGTTTTGAAACTTTAGCGACGTTAACTGGGGAAAAGAATCGATACTTAGAGTAAGTAATGAATCTGAAATCGAGACCGAAACCATTATACAATCGTCCATGGTCTTCTGTTGCGGTTCTGGAAGACCAAACCGAGATAACCCCCACAACCCCCCCCCAACCCCCCCAATTACATTACTAATGTAACAAAACTCATTTTTCATTTCACAGTTAACGCTATAACACATGAAAATTATGGAATTATTCTATTTAAAGTCAGGGCGAGAATCGTTACACCCCTAACGTTTACATACTACATCAAAAAAGTGAGGAAATTTCAGTTTTCTATGAGCTGGCCCTTTAAACAGTGCTTTACTTACTGATATGACTGTCACTAAAGCACAAATATTGTAGCACTGGGGCTGAGCTACCCAGAATTCTTTGCGGTTTTGGTTTCTGTTAATCACAGCGATGCGACCGTCTAAGATTATAAGGTTGCAAGTTCAAATCCTGGTAATGCGGCGGCCAAAGAGAGCGGCTAATTTTTAGAGTATTATCGGCAGTTTATTCTGATTAAACTGCAGACCGTCAGTATCGGCCAATGTTATCGGCCGACTGATCATCGGTCGAGCCCTACTTTCCTCCCCTTAAAGGCAATTTCAAGGGAAACTCCACCCAAAAATCCTTCTTTGTCTTTTTTAATATACTTTTATATAATTGTTTTTCAGTGATGTGCCGACAGTGTTTTAAACTGCTCTTTACTTTCCAGCAGACAAGAAGGCTTTATTTTTGGTTTGCTTAATGACCACAAATGTGCGGAGGATGACCAGTAGATCCTATTGGTTGAGATTGGAAAGAATGTAGTAGTTGAAAACACTTTCCTCTCATCGCATCGTTGACATGTAGCTGAGGGAAATACAGGACAATATACTTTGGGGGAAAATGAATATTTTCATTCTGATTAATTCAAGATATAGTTATTACAGGAATAAAACTTCTATCATTTATACGTAAATCAAACACTAAACATCATACATGCTTTTCAATGCCAGTAATGTATGACGTCCAGTTTGCTAAAGGAGTTACAAACTCATCATGTTATAAACGCATTATGTGTGCCTTACGAATGTGTTTGCTATTGTGTTGTTCTGACAAAGTGTTACTGTTAAAAGGAGAAGTACGGAGAGAGTCTGAGAAAAAAAAGTCACCCAGTTGATAAAAACAGGTGGCTCCCTTCTTACTTTTGTCGGTTTTTGCTTTTGCTTTTTTTTCATTGTATATTGTAAATATTAATTAAACGTAGACTAATTTTGAGTCTGAGAGTTCCAGTCCCAAATAATGTTCTACCCTTGTATTAAGGGCTACATCAAAAAACACAGACTCAGTTCATGTTTAAAGTACTGAGCTTTTATTTGACCCATATGTAAAAACATTACAATATGTAAAATATTACAATTTCTTTTATATTTTGCCCCAGCCTCTCTTCCAAAGACCGCCCCTGTGCACCACCTTCACAAATGTGCAATGAATTTAGTGTTCAGTATTACTCAAGGCAATCTGCCGAAAGCAAAAAGCAAAATAATAATAAACACAAAGACCGCATGGCAACGTCCTCGCTGTTATATGAAAACTGAGAGTAAATAAAAGCTCTTTTTTTTCCTTTTTCAAAGCAGACAGGGCCACTGTACCCATTATTCATTTGCCACCCATCAAAAGTCACTAATGTAAATGTACAACATGGTGTTAATGTGAGAAAAATGCTACATTAAGTTAGATTTACTCAACTCTGTTAGAATGAACTGTATGTAACTTTCAACACTGTCATACTTACAAAATCCTTTTTTTTCAAATTCATCTTACTGCTAATGTTCCTGCCTTTCGTTACAGAGCTGCTGGATCTAAAGGAAAAGGGATTTGTGTTTTTCACAAAGGTCATTTGTGGAATAGCTGAAAGTCATGAAAATGTCTGTGGCAAAGAAGGCGATGTTTTCTCCTGTTGAATGTTCAGAAATGGAAATGCGAAAGCTACACCTGTAAATGCATGACTACATTTCATCGCTGTCGTTCTCCCGCTGTAAGACTTTCTGTAGAACTTTCAATACGCCACAGTGCAGTTCTGTTTTTGTTTCTGTTTAATTTTCTTTGAGAAACGACTTTGCCACAAGGTTTCATGGAGTGGGTAATGGTATTTGCACTTGAAAAATTGTTTATGCTCATGTAAAAAATGTCTGGATTTTGTATTGTCTTTTTAAATGAAAGGAATTGGTGTTCGTACAAGCTGCCGTCTGTCTTGTTTTTCTTTCTCTTGGCTCAACTGTGAGCTCCCAAATATTAAACTGGGACCTCTCAATGAACAGTTTTACACCAATCTATTGAATTTTGAGTTCAGAAAAAACAAAACGAAGTTAGTGATGAAGGAAAATTCTTGACGGAAACTGAAAATCAGCACACGCTCAGCCGTGAGCCACAATAATACTTTTTAGTATATATATATTTTTTTCTCTTCCGCCCGAAAAAGGCAAAAAAAAGAATAATAATAATAAAAACAAAAACTGGCCAAAGACTTTCAGTGACTGAAATTTTGTACATCCCTACATTTTGACTCTGTGGCTGACTCACAACTGATTTGCCAACTTGTTACAAATGTAGTTTCATATTGAATATCATTACAAACAATATATATAATAAAGATTGCCATAAACCTCACAGATCCATAATAGAGGCTAGACAGTTTCAAAATTAAAGATTTCAAGTGAAAATAGAAAAAGAAAGGTTTATATATTATGCTGATCTAACTGGTCCAGCTGTGTTTTCATTTCTGTAGTATCTGTTGTGGCTTTTGTGCATTTCTGAAAAATACAAAGATAAAACACAGAAAAATGTTTTTTTTCAACCTGAAATGTAACGCGGTTCACTTAGTTCGTAGCTTTAACATCAAAATACATCAATTACAGTAAATAAAACGAATGCAGGGTGTTTTTCTACCTCAAAGGACGAAAGGAAACATTGATAATAAGACCTGCTGTGAATGCATACATGAAAATGTGTACATTTAATGATAAAAAGCAAGCTTTCTTTTTAATTTAATTTTCATCTGAATTGCTCCTATATTCCATTGTAATAGCTTGACTAAGTTAATCTGTAATTTTCCATCAAACAGTCACATAGTTAAGCCTTTAATCCTCACTTTCTAGTACTTGTTATAAAGCACCAAAATTTCAAAAACAGATTAGTTTTGATTATCATTAAACAAAATTCCAAATGTAAGATTTAAGTGAGATAAAACACAAACTTACATATGGACACATGTAGGAAGCTTTGGAGTCCACTCTCCATTTAGCCCACAGCTGACCACAGCAGAGCCCTGTATTCTCAACCCAGGGTTGCAGGTGAACATCACTACGTCTCTGTGTTTGTAACGAGCCTTAAATCCAAAAGTCCTTGATCCAAACTGCACATATGGAAATGGACAGCTGGAGTCTGAAAGGTCCAAATGAAGATATATAATAATCTATATAACAGCACTGAGGTTTAAAATGTTTTAAAAATGATCTTATTGATAAATGTTTATGAAAGCAAAAAAGAACACAAATTACTTGTTGTTTGAAAATAAGTTAACACGCCCTCTACAGAGAACACAAATATGATTTTTTCTTCTAGAAATTTTACAGCACAATTTCTATTTATTTGAGTTAAACACAGCAGACAAATAACATTAAATATAAAATACGCCATAACGTTTCCACATTTTTTTCCCCTAGTAAGTTAAATTCTTTCCCAGTATGTTAAATTCAGCAAATGAACTGCAACTGTGCATTAAAATGTGTAGAAGTGTGAGAAGAGTGTTCTCTGTATGTATGTCTGTATGTGTTCTGTATATATGTGTTCACTTATTTTAGCTTAGAAATCGATCAAACGTTTATTTCAGCGTTTATTGCCCAGGGGTGCCCAAACTTTTGCATACAACTGTATATATCATAACATGTTAAATATAAATCACACAGCAAAATGTACATATAGATGACTTATGAAATATTTCAAGTAAACGAAAAAATGAAAGACTAAGTAATGCACTGTATTTGCCTTTGATCATGTTTTGTCCAGTTATCCACCTCAAGATTTTAACACCACTTTAGAAATTTGAGGCACTCAGGATATTGTTATAATCTCATTCTGGTATATTCTATTTATTATATGCTCATTCTGGATATTAATGTTCTAACTTCATTATATCTTCATTCTGGATATTAATGTTATTATAACTTGTTACTCTGGATATTTGTTTTATTAATATAACTTCTGGATTCAGAAGGTACAGATTTGTACAGTTTTCATGGTCATTTTAGAATCATGTACAGTGTGCTTTTACACGTTTCACACACACTGAGACTCAGCCCCGCTGCTCACCCTGGCACCGCGGCGGCGGAGCGCTCCAGGTGCCGTGCTCTGTGCAGTAAATGTCCTGAGCTCCAATCAGCGAACCGGAGCGACATCTGTAGGACACCACATGACCGTACTCCGCGTGTCCATCTGTAGTGTCAAATATCTCCGCACCGGGCACTTCTGGGGGGCTGGGGCACTTGACCACTGAATAAACACACAAACAACAAACACACACAAAGACACTTCAGTAAATAACACTCACCTTTAGGGCTGCAACAGCCACTACTTTCACAGCTGATTTGTTGGTCCTGTTTGACTCATATTAACCGATTCAGTACTTACAGACATTAATCTGGCAATAATGTTTTATGTAATACATTAAAAATGTATTACATAAAATATGTAAATGTAAATGTAAAACACACTCCCTACAGGCACTTTCTCCTCTAACGCTAAAGCAAAAATGAATTAAATACCATGTGGATGGTAACATTATGTAAAGAAATTACAATAATATTTCAGTACACTAATCAGTCATCAGCCGTGTCAGATACAGAAACCTAAAGCAGCTCAGCACACAGAATATGGCAGTAACCATGTCAAACATGTTAACACTGAGTTTTAAAAGGTCTTAGTGATCTAAAGCTCTGTCTTCTTGTGGACGGGAGGCTAAAACGCAGAGAAATAACTAAAAACATATTAGCTCTGTGTGTGTTAGTGTACAAGCTAACCCTGATATCCGTGTAGTTTAGCTGGGCCATTCAGCCAACAGTTTTGAACTGTTTTTTGAGTCGTGGTCAGAAAGGTTCAGTTTACCATGTCAAGTGGTCTGACCTCAGAAGGACCATGAACGTGTCTAATTATAATAAGAACGTTTATTTATTTGAGTTTATATAGTATAAACTCAAGTTCAAGGACAAATGTTTCTAGGAGGGTCTTAGCAGATGCCTGTTTAATTTGAAATTAGTCTGAAAAGTCAGGTGATTGTGTATACACTGTATATATTGTATATATCTGAGTCTACAATATATACAAAATTGCCGATCCCCATCTCAACTCAGCAGTAGCACTGTTGAACTGCAGTGGTCAGAGGTTCAGGGGTGCTGCAGCAGCGAGGAGGCTCCACTGTGCACAAACGTACCTTCACATACAGGCGTTCTGCCGTCCCAGCCTTCAGCTCTACAGCGTCTCACACCAAACCCGACCAAGCGGTACCTACAAATCAACAAAGTGCAACATTTATATAGGGCATCTCGCGAAAACATGACAAACATCAGAAGAGGAGGTTCATCCACAAAGAGTGAGGATCAGTTCACATGGGACTGATATAACTTTGGCCACTGTAAATGGGAGACAGTGATATTAACAGATACAGCTTAAATATGTTATTGGCTGGTTGTTTCATGTTGTTTTAAAAGAACAATTCAAAACATAAAATCTAAATAAACAGTTAATTTGTCTTTCTCAAAGCCTGGTTTCTGTCAGACGAATGTTAAAAATAAATTGTTCAGTAAAGATGATTTTAACTTTTAATCAAAAAGCAAAGGTTCTTTATCAAAATATGTTGTTGCTACTAGAAATAATGACAAAAATCCAATTATAATGTCTTAAAATTCAACTTTTATTTAAGAATTATATTTTAGCATGTAAGATTTCATTTCTCATTGACAAGACTTCAAGCCCTTTTCCTGTTCATGATCATTACTGTAATAATTCTTCCTAAAATAAATTAAAAATGAACTTAACAATTAAAAATTACATTAGCATGCTGACATTTCAATTATGATAGCAAGCTGTTTTACATTTTATTGCCTATAATTTTCTTGATCTTACCATCATGGTAAATCTGGCAGTGCATTTTATGAATCTGGCACAACGTGTTATCTATGATTATTCTGTTACAGGAACAGCAGCAGCATTCAAATATAGTGTGTATTCACTTTCCTGCCTCACACTATTTACCTTAAAGATACAGGTAAGTTGTTTTTTATAATGAAATACATCCTCCTAGTTTCCAAAATTAAAGGAAGTTCTCAGATAAACAGTTAGAAACATGTTTAATTTACATTTTCAGCCGTTTAGCTCCATTCACTCCCTCTCACTGAGGACTCGCTTACGGGCACCCTTTAGGTATTTGCAGTCAGGTTTCTGATATTGTGGGAGAAATGAGAAGTGACCAGGTTTGTTCCTTCACCTTAAACCAGCTCTGGCTTCAGCCAGTTCTCAACACTGTGAGTGGGACATTTGGACGGGATACTGAAGTTCTGATTGGCTGTATTTGACATGTAATACTTTTTCTAATCGATCTGTGAGGGACATTGAACCAGAACCATTTCTGTCAGCCATGGTTTTGTAAGAGATCCAAATAACTCACAGTTAAGCTTTTTATTGGCAAGAAAACAAGTTGATGATTGGCAAAATGCTAAATATCGGATCCGATTATCAACCGGGCAGATATTCAGTCGCCCCCTAGTCTGTAGTAATACTATGTTGTTGAAGATCCTTACCCTTCAAAACACTCTGCAGTGGCGGTATCACCAAAAGATACTCCGGTGTACTGAAAACGGCCGTTTGCGATCTCTCCAGCAGACCCGCAGGGTTTTCCTTGAAAAGAGTTAATAAGACACATACATCATCATCATTCTGGAACAGAGTTGCACAAAACATGCAAAATACCACACTGCAATGCAATGTCATACGCAGAAGTTTTAATTTCCAATGACATGTTTTGTTGATTTTCTAAGGGAAAGTAAGTTAACACATCTTGAAAGACTGGCCTGTATTATTTTAACCAAAATTACTTTTGTTGGATGATCATTTCATTAAAACACCCACAGAAACTCATCAGTTGTGACTGATCAAGATGCTCATAGCACACAGTAAAAAGACTGTAATTAGTTTGAGGGCTCATTTGCATACACCATGTTTCCTGTGATATCACGGTTGCAAAGGGCAACAACACAGTATCAATTAACAGATGATGTATTGTGCAGCCCTGCTGTGGAACACTGTGCTCATCTTCATAATATGACCAAGTGTTTCAAAACTTACTCTCACATCTCATCTCTAATGACGTCCAGTGGCCGTTCTTACAGCGAATGCTGGAGCTTCCTCCAGCCCAGCGGTATCCAGGGTTACACTTGAACCTCACGTAATCATCAGGCTCGTACTCTCCCTTACGGAGGTATTCCTGTCTGGGCATCGCGTCAGGGTGGTGTGGCAATCGGCTACATTTTCCTGCAAGACACTTTATTTAGTGTTGCACTGATGGCAATGACAGGGGAATTCAAAATTTCTGTATAATCATTAGGATGTAAATCAAAGACATTCTGAGTGGTTTAGTGGGTCAGAATTCTTCACAGTGGTGGCAATAGAAACATTTTGGCCTAAAACATATTTTTTCAAATTCATTCCTAGTGAAGAGGCACTGTAGGGCACTGTAAGGCAAAATAGGCACCAAAGAAATTTTTTTTCAGATTTATCACCACTTTACGATCATCAACATTACATATATAAACGCAGAAGATGTGTAGGTTCACTGGTGTTTTTGGACAGTAAATAAAATGGCTATATTTGTGTTGTAGACATGACAACCCTTTGGTTCCTATCACTACCACTGTAAACAGTACTGGTATCGACAACAGAAATTATTGATATCATGAAGCAATTTCCGCCAGTGAGCGATACGCCAGTAGACCTTAATAAATCATACAAAAATCTAATTAGGCTGTAATTTGAGGATCATGAAGCAAACAGAATTGCTGAGCAGTCAGAGATTTACATCCCTGTAGACTATAAATATTCACATTGACAACAAACTGAATTTCTCCCTCAGGGTGGTTTTTCTATATTAGCAACTTGCCCTACTACAAAATTAGCATAAAAGCATAAACCGTGCACAGTCTTGAGGCTGGAGACAAGGTGAACTGGTAAAATTACCTGTGGCCGAACGGCATTCCGGCAGAGCTTGCCATTGACCGTTTGGTCCACATGTGATCTGTGGTGAGCCAATCAGATTGAAGCTCTCCTGACAGACGATGGTCATGCGTTCTCCAACTCCGTAATCTCTACCCTCCTGCATCCTGCTGTTGGCCACAGTAGGGGTTGGACATCTGATCGCTGGCACACAGAGAATAGAGCGAGCAAAGTGTTTAACATTTTGTATTGTCAAGACATAATAAAAGTACTGATGACCTGAAACACAATGCTGGTTTATTATTCAAACCAGTACAACAAGGTGTGTTACAGCAGGGAAAAGGCTACACTGAGGGTCTCCAGGACCACTGAATCAGGTTTCAGAACTATAATGAAAATTAAGAGAGAATATCAGCAAACGTACCTTCACATACAGGCACTCTGCCATCCCAGCCTTCAGCCCCACAGCGTCTCACACCAACCCCGACCAAGCGGTACCTAAAAATCAACAAAATGCAATGTGGAAAAATGGGGCAGAATAGTATTCGTATAGGGCATCTCGTGAAAACATGATTTAAGCATTGGAAGAGGAGGTTCATCCAGAAGGAACAGAACATAGAACTATTCAGAGGTTTTCCAGTCATATGTGTGTGAAGTAATGGACTTCATGTCAATTCATCAACATGTCAGTTTACATGAGACTAATATGAGCTGATCAGCTCGACAACCAATCAGCTCTCAGTAGCAGAGATGCTAGCGACCTACTGCCCAAAACCTGTTTGCTGAAGAAAAATGGAAAGATACAGGTAAGTTTTCTTTGCTTTTAAATTGAAAACATCCTTCAACTTTCCTAAGAAACAAAGTCTTGTTTAGCCTCATTTAGCCCCATTCACCCACATTCATTTAGGACTAGCTAGCATTTTGTAGTCAGGTTTCTGATCTAATGGGAGAAATAAGAAGTGGCCACACACCCCTTCTAGACTGACTCTGGTTTCAACCAACTCATAACACTGTGGGTGGGACATTGAGACAAGATACTGAAGTTTTGATTGGCTGTTCTTGACATGTAACACTTATTTTTGACCAATTCAGTAAGGCTGAGGGCAGGACATTGAGCCAGAACCATTTCTGACAACCTTGGTTGCTATCGGAGATGTCATAACTCACTTTAAGCTTTGTACTGATTAAGTTTATAAGTTAAAATTGCGATTCTGATGGTTGGCAAAATGCTAAATATTGGATCTGATTATCAACTGGGCAGATAATCGGTTGATTCCTAGTCTGTAGAACCTTACCCTTCAAAACACTCTGCAGTAGCAGTATCACCAAAAGACACACCAGTGTACTGAATACGTCCGTTTGCGATCTCTCCAGCAGACCCGCAGTTTATCTCTTGAAAAAAAGATAGTAAAATGTAATTAATAAATAGAAGGAAACCACATACATCATCAACATTCTGGAACAGAGCTGCACATATTCTCAGCACTGCAGTAACACTGATATGATGGTGGTGTGTTAGTGTGTGTTGTGCTGGTGCGAGTGGATCAGACACAGCAGTGCTGCTGGAGTTTTTAAACACCTCAGTGTCACTGCTGGACTGAGAATAGTCCACCAACCAAAAATATCCAGCCAACAGCGTCCTGTGGGCAGCGTCCTGTGACCACTGATGAAGGACTAGAGGATGACTAATACAAACGGTGCAGCAAGAACGGAGCTCCTGTCTCTGCTGTGGAAATATCCTGTGCTTATCATCCCTAATATGACCAAGTGTTTCAAAACTTACTCTCGCATCTCATCTCTAATGGCGTCCAGCGGCCGTTGTCACAGCGAATGCTGGAGTTTCCTCCAGCCCAGCGGTATCCAGGGTTACACTTGAACCGCACGTAATCATCAGGCTCGTACTCTCCCTCACGGAGGTATTCCTGTCTGGGCATCGCGTCAGGGTGGTCTGGGAATCGGCCACATTTTCCTGCAGGACATTTTAATTAGTGTTGCATCGATGGCACTTAAAGGGAAATTCTAACAATTTTTCTAAATATCTTTATAATTACAGTAATACAGTAATATTGCATGATATCAATTCATCAATAATCTTATCAATAGATTACACTCTAGTTAGAGATTGGATCACAGCGTAGCTCACCTAAATGCCTCTTACCTGATTCACAGGTGGGCACAGCTGGTGCCCAGGAGCGGTTAGCTGCACAGGTTATGAGCTCTGCCCCTTTCAGCTGGAAACCGTCCTCACAGGTGATCTTCACGGTCATGTTAATCCTCACACGACTATCATTTACTCCACCGTTGAGTATAACCAACTTCGGGCATTTAATCACTATAAAGGAGCAAACAACGATGCATTTATAGACACTGCACGCTGATCAATGAGGCAGTTTTCACACCTTTGTGTGCTAAAGTACACAGAGATTTGGTTTTTATGAAATGGGCAATTTTCTTTTTGAAACTATTGTGAACCACTTTTAGCTCTGCAATCGCTGCACTATTAAAGTTACCCTTTACTGGTCTGAGCTGTGGCTTCTGTTACAGAACTGTCACAGAGATAAGAGGACGCGCTCACCCCAAGTTCAAATCATACAGCTCCCAATCGAGCAGGAAGCTCTCAGTAAAACTGTATAGGGATTTTATAATGTCACACCATTTCTAAATGCGCTCGGCACAGAACTCAAGTTCAGCTCAAACCGCCAAATTAATGTTTTTTATTTATTATGTCAAAATAATAAAAATTTTATAATTATACTAAAAATAACAGTATGTCATACAAGTGTCAAACATAAGCAAGTCTATCAAGTTACATAACAGCTCAAGAGAGTTGGAAGGAAGTATGTGGTGAATACTTGGGCTCAATTTCTAAGCTGACGTTAGGTGTTTATGTTGGTTGAAGTGCAGCTGAAATGCAGCTGGTGTGTTTGGTGATATGACTGTATGGAACTGCGTAGAATTGTGTAGAACTGAGGTATAACCGTTGATTATTGTTGGGGGGAGGAGAGTCAGAGCGCACATTACAGTGCATGCTGGGGACTGTAGTGCAGCGCTTTGTCTAACAGGCTAATAATAATAGAAAATTAAAATACTGTTGCGGGCTGGATAGGATTGTGACGTGAGCCTGATCTGGCCCGTGGGGCTTTGTGTTTGACACATGGGGTCTTTATCATATGATGAACGAGTAATGAAAAAAAGAGGTAGCTTAGCATTACTGATGCAATAGTGATTGTTTTGACAAGTGTTTGACGAAAGCTTGTTTGGATTCCTGCGTGATATGTCGCTATTTAACGATCAACAAAAGTGCCATTGACTTTTAAGAGGTGTTTTTCATTTTTAGAAAATGCCTGTCCCTCCTAGCTTATAAACAAATTCAGTCAAATTCAGCTTTTCTAGATTGTTTTTAATAAACGTTTTTGCTCTCCATAGAAATGGTATTTAAGAAAAATAATGGATTTGAAGGAGGTTGAAATTATAAATAAACCGTATGGGGGAATTGCTGATGTTTAGTCAAAGCATTAATGACTGTAAGGTCTGTAAAGACTGTTGGAACCAAAGACTATCCATTTCAACCCCAGGCCTCCAACATAACATTATGAATAAAAAAGAAATCTTTTAATACTGGCTAAACACTTTCACTAATAACTGTTTTAAGTCTAAGTTCTCAAAAGATGTCAAAAAGGAAAGAGTCTTCAAATGCTGAGTTTGTGGAAGAGGGAAAAAGGCTTCTTCTTTATTTCAGCATCAGGTGGCACAGAGAGAGACCCAACTGCACAAACCGTGTTCCAAACAACAGTTTATATACCATTGATCTGGGGTAATGTGACATCCCCCTGCCTTACTTCTCAAATTTTGATATTAGCTCATTCTATAATAGGTGCATCTCTTTGTCCATCAATTTGGCCATCGCATGATGACCTCACTCCTAAAAACTGGTTTCAGCCGTTTTTTACCAGTCTGCTTTACCTTTCAAGGTCAACTTGTACCTCTCTTCACTGGGTCAGTAGGTACACACAGGCCTCTCTGTGAACCCAGGGGCTTTCCAGTGTCTAGAATCTCCTATGCAGATAGACTAAGGCCTTCCCTTTGTGAGAGAATTAATATTCTCTGTTAACCAATAATACTTATTTGGTTATTAATTACAATATCTAACCTATTTGATTACTGATTAAGGGAATATTTATTCAAAATCTCTGTCAAGGCCTTGAGTTATTTGCAACAATCAGTCAAAAGTAGTGTAGTTGGCAACATGCAGAATTTGAGTGTTTTTATCAGTAAAGATCAGACACCCCTGATGTAAGGCAAGATTAAGCTTCTAAGAAAAAACAGTGAAGATTTCAGCTCTGGAGATGCAACTGCACTAGAATCCAAGCGTTTATTGGTTTTGATATATATAAAATATAAAAATTTTTATATATAAAAATCCATAAATGGACAGACCATTTTTAAGGTGTGTTTTTGCAAAAAATCTGGCTGTTTCCACCCCTGATTACATTAGCCTCGTAGCATCAATGTAAACCTGAAGAAGCAAACTTCAGACACCGAACGTGTCTCAGCTGAGTGACTACATTTAGGGAAACAGGTATCTGTGTACATTAGATTTATTGTCATAAAGGCCTCAGGAAGGCCATTACTCACTCTGAGGGCCTATAAAACAAATAGAACATCAATACCTGAGTCACCCCAGTCTATAGGACTTACGTTCACATTTCAGTTGAGGTGTCCATCTGCCCATCTGACACCTGGTGATGGTGATGTTGTCAGTCAGCTGGTGCCCGACATTACAGGAGATGGATAAAGACTCTCCAGGGTCATACTTATTCTTTGTTCCATTAATCTTGGCATTGGTTATCTTAGGGTGCTGACATCTTCGTTTTCCTTTAGGCGTGTCAGAGCCAGGAGATGGAGAGCGACCAAGGGGAGAGTGAGCAAGTGGAGGGGAAGAGTGAGAGACTAAACCGAGAGAGAGAGAGAGAGAGAGAGAGAGAGAGAGAGAGAGGGAGAGAGAGAGATAATGAGTTATAAACACAGGATCATAATGTCATAATAGAAGCAGGAATCTGGGTACAAGAAGTCAAAACATGCCACTTGTCTGCCAAAAACATCAGATGGTTCAGGGCTACAGATGAGCAAAGACAAAACGATCTGCACAAATGAAAGTAGAGGCTGCACATCCACTGAAGGCCACTGCAGAAAAAAAAAACAAAAAAAAACGTTCTTTTGTTCCCAGCCTTGAATTAATGTACACTCAGTTGCAACAGTGACAAAAGCTGTCTTGTTTTGGTGAAAAGTTTGTGCTCATGCAGCATTTCTTACTAAAGTAAGAGCGTAAAACCACTGACCTTTCAAAATTTCCACATAATTTAATAAATAAGATGTAAACAAAGCCATTCAGAGTGGTGTGATGTGAAATGCTGTTCTAGAGAAACTGACTGAGTCAGAATTGTTCTCAGTGGTGGTGATAGGAACCAGACGTCTGAAGAAAGAAACAACATGAAATGGTCTCAAAACGGATGGAGGTCCAGAGAGGCCATGGTTAGCTATAATTTTCTGGATTGTTATTTTGAGATAATGAGTTAATTATCTTGTTATCTCAAGATAACAAAATTGTTAGCTTGAAATGACAAGTTAGTTAAGTGACCCTTATTAGTACCACAACGTTGAAATTTGACCTCCGCATTTTGACCCATCCGTGCAGTGAAACACCACATACACACTAGTGAACACACACACTATGGGGCAGTGAGCACCCTTGCCCAGAGTGGTGAGCAGCCCTAACCACAGCACCCGGAGAGCAGTGGGGGGTACCTAGCCTTACTCAAGTGCACTTCAGTCAGGTACTGTCAGTTCAGGGGATTGAACCGGTGACTGTGGTTCACATTCACAGTCACAAGGCTGGTTCTCTAACCTCCAGCCCATCTAATACATTCTTTAAACTGCTATCATAATGCGTGCAGTAGAGGGTACATTATACTTATTTATCACTTTTTTACCATCATTAACATTACAAATGAAAATTTATTAAACACATCTGGTTCACTGGTCATTTCAGATAGTAAATAAAATACTTGTGTACTAGACAGTGCGACCCCTGGTTTCTAATATAACCACCGAAAAAAGGAACATGAGTTGGTAAGTTTCTCTACAATGAACCACTTCACATCAAACCACTCTGAATGGCTTTGTTTACACCACAACAATTGAATTATGTAGAATTTTTTGCAAAAATCGGTGTAATTTCCTTTTAATAGGGAGTTTATATCCCCTTTGCGCCAGCAACAGTGCTCTTCCAGGAAGGCTTTACACTAGATGTTGGAACATCGCTGTGAGGATTTGACTGCAGCAACAAGAGCATTAGTGAGATCAGGTACTGATGTTGGATGTTCAGTTCTGGATCACTACAGCTCATCCCAGAGGTGCTGGATGGAGCTCCATCACGCCAGAGAACACAGTTCCACTGCTCCACAGCCCAAGGCTGGGTGGCTTTATACCCTCTAGCTGACATTCAGCATTGTGTATGATGGCCACAGGCTTGTGTGCAGCTGCTCCAAAGCATCCCATTCTATTGGTCAGTGCTTTTCTATAGATAACATAAAAGCAGTGTGCAATTAAACACCTGTGTCAGCAGGTGGTGCACTTTAAAGTAGCTGAATTCACTAATTAGAAGAGGATACTTTTGGACATAAAGTGGTAGCACAGTGTCAGCACTGTACTAAATGACAGCTGTGTGTCTCAGAAAGGCCAGCAGAGGGAGCTACTGAACTTGTTTTCACAGCCTTTGTGCCACATCACAGATTACAAGTCCAAAGACCTTAACTGCGTTTATATCCTCTTAACTCTGGACTCTCAAGGCCGTGTCTTAACCTTAAAAGATGGCTGTGAAAAAACACCATGGAAACTGTCTCATGCTGCCTGTGGAGTGAGCGCAGATGCTGCTAGGTGAAGGATTTTATCACTCACAAAGATAAAAGGTAGTTTGACATTCCAACTTCAGTGAGTATAAAACTCATCTTACCTTTTCTGCAAGAAGGAATAGTTCCACTCCATCCATTATCGAGACATTCCCGAACACGCTCTCCTTCTAGGACATAGCTGGAAATGACAATAGAATAGAAATGAGCTGTAAAGAACAGAAGCGATTTCTGTGTGATTAACTTTCAGCACTGATAGCCTAAAACAAGACCACAAAAATTTATAGTTTTTAAAAAAGGCCATAAACATTAAAGGGCCCATATCACAGAAAAATGAATTTTCCTCATTTTTATGAAGTAAAAGAGTTTTATTTAGCATGTAAACACTGTTTAAAGTTTCAAAAGGTACTAGAGAAAGAAAAGTGTAAAGAAATCTCTCAACATGAATTTTTTTTTGTCCATAGCCATATTATAATAAAGGCTATTATTTAATGAAGAGTGCCATGATTTTACACTTTTTTCTCTAAATTCTGAACCCTTGTCTGAGGGTTCTGAGCACCTTCTGTACTAAATGTTTATTTTCCTACCAGCAGGACTCTCTGTTTAATTTTGTTTTAAAAGGTACTACTGACTCCTTACGGTCCATATATGAAAACTAAGCTGCCTATTTTGCATTCATTGTTTTTGTGATGTCACAAAAAACAGCACATTGACATATATCCATCTGTTAGCCTACAGCAGTTTAGCCCCGCCCCTTCACAAATCTCTTTCAATAAGTTCTAAGGAGCATTTCAGCCGGGACTGCTTTCTGAATGACTCACAATACAGGGCTTCCAATCAGAACAGAGCTCACTGACATATATCAGGCTTGAAGGCACAGCAACAAAAGTAGCATGTTTCATTTGAAGGGTTAAAGAGAAAACGGTCATGTAAAACTGTTTGTGGTGCATAAACCTACATCTCAGGAAAAAAAAATTGTTATTAGTTGTGTTACAATAGAAATGTATTCAAAAGACCAGGATCTCTTACTTTAGGCTAAAAAAGTACAGGCTGTTAGTGGCCTTAAAATAAGAAACTGCTGTAAAGAATAAAACCTATAAAAAACTGTAAACATTAATTAGAGAGCAACATAATTACAATAAAAATGTTTTTGGGAGCAACAGAAATGATTGCTATTTGTTTAATTATAGCCTAAAAAACATTAAAGGCCGGTTTCCCAGACCCAGATTAAGGCTAATCCCAGACTAAAAAGAATCTCCAATGGTGATCCAGGATTATTACTGCAATTTAGTCCAAGACTAGGCTTAATCCATGTCCGGGAAACCATGCCTAACACTGTAAACATTCCTGTACTGAAGTATGTACTCTACTAAACCAGATCGCTCCTCTAAACTGCTAAAACTTACATTCTGAGCAACATAATTAAAAATGCACTATACCAGTCAACAGCTACACAAGTGTGTAGGAGCAGACTGAGGACATTTCCGAGCGCATACGCCCAGGACAAAATTATTTTTGCCAGCCAGCCTCAGAGAGCTGCTGGGTGGGACTGTAGTCATTAACTTTGGCACTCTCATGAAAACACTGCCACCAAATCAGCAATTCCAAAGAGATTTCAGTCTCTCTGGACGGGTCAGCTGACTGACTGTCCCCCTGGGCTACTGCAGATCCAAGCAAGTGCTCGAGAGTGAAACACTGAAGTCAATCAGGCCCAGAGAGCAGGATAACAGGATGCTGCTAATGTGCCTCATGTTTACCTCAGCCTGGTCGAATCTCACTGTATGACTGCATAATTTAATTTCTTTCATCAATCTGATAAAGCGGAGTCATTCCATTACCCATCATCGCACTCTGCGGTGGCTTTGTCCCCGAACGAGTTCCCTTGCTGAACATATCGCCCAAACTCTATTTCTCCAGCCGAGCCACACCACTTCCCTGAGAGAGAACAGAAAGAGTGAAGAGACTGTAAAGACGCTGATTATGTACTGTTACTATCATGTACTATGTATTAAGCAAAACAGCACAGCATCATTATGAATCAACGCTTTACTCATAGATAGATTTAATCAGACCAAATATAACTTATACAGTTTATATAATAAATTAAGTTGAGTGATACAAATCTGATGGGTCCCCTTAAGGTATGCTACATTATGGAATAAGAAGGTATATATTACTACACTTTCTTATACGTTACACTTACAGTACAACATATTATAGAACATAATACAAAATATATTTACTCATTACACTTTTTTCCTTCTGCCATGTACAAGCTAATAAAATTAAATGCTTAAAGGGGAATTCCACTATTTTTTGAAAATTTTGACATAATACAGTCGAGTTGCTGAGTTGTAAACAAAAAGTAATTTGGTGTGATTTGATGTGAAATGCTGCACTGCAAAAAAGTGTACTGAATCAGACGGAAGCCCAGTATTAACTGTAGTTATCGTCCAATACCTGGTCTGGCTGATCAACACTTCATTATGTTAAATCTGGTGAGCTGCTGATGAAATAGAACAAATCTATACGATGTCTGGGGGCGTCCCTGGAGATCTGGAACCAAATTTTGTTGTTTAAGCTAGCTCATTAGATAGCAACTATTTTTTTCTGAAAATAATGAAGTTCTTGTCACTTTTTATATTTATTTCTGTTTATTCTAATGAAATAATGTGTTTTTTTTATAAACGCAACCTGCCCAAAAACGCAACCTGCCTGGTTTTAAACAAGCCTAAGACATATATATATATATATATATATATATATATATATATATATATATATATATATACGCCTGTACAAATACAGCCATTTTATTTACTATGCAACAACCTGTGGACCTATATGTATCCATGTAATGTTGATGATGGTAAAACAGTGATAAATCTGAAACAACACAAGTTTTAAAAGTACTACTTTAACAATTAAAATAAAAGTATTATTTTTCTTGTTTTTTAATCATTTTTCTGTTTTAATAATGTGTTTTATGTGAAAATCCTACCTCAAGATTACAATAAAAACCATGAAATAACTTTCTGTGAGGGAGCTTTTAGAGGCATTAAACTACTGAGAAGTCTGGTTTCCATCACCACCACCGAGAAGAATTCGGTCTCTGTAAGTTTCTCTAGAATGGAGCCACTCTGAATGACTTTGTTTACATCATTAACCATTTAATTGTGCAAATATTTTGAAACGAAAGTCTGCGATTCAAATGTGTCAATCAATTGCACACGAACAAAATGCTACATCAACACTATTCGTGCAAAACTAAACTGAAGGTCAGCGACTGTGTCAATGTAACATTTTACTAAACTGACTCAAAGCTCCACTCGTTTTTCAGTGTAGAGTAAGTGCAGTTCCTGGAGTTTGTTCTCCTTCAGGATCAGAAAGGTTTCTTACTTATGCATTTCATGTTGAGAGGTTCCCACTGTCCGTTCCTGCAGAAGGACACTCTGCTGCCCGCAGTCTGTCTGTGACCCACCGCGCACTTATAAGCCACCCTGTCTCCATTCTTAAACTCTGACAGCTGAGCGTACTTCTCATCCAGCCGCTTATCTGGATACGACACTGGACGGCCACACTGACCAGAGCCTTGAGATGCTGTAAGAGACAAGAGGATGAAGAAGCCAGATTAAAACCCACGGGACGCAGTTTCCCATCCTTAATGTCCATCTCCATGGCTGCTTGGTTAGCAGCAGAAGTTTGTAGCAGCCTAAAAGCCAAACTCAAGTAAAAGAACTGTTACTTATGTAACTGTTAATAATTTCCACAAAACAACGAGTAGAAGTATGACCAGGTCAAAAACTGCTGAAGTACTTAGTAACTTATAGAACTGCAAAGGATCTTCTTAGTACATCCAGCACCCATTAGCAGAAAAACTGAAGTTTGATAGATGCTGTTATTTTCTTTTTGGTCCAAAAAAAACCCGATAAACCTCCAAAGTAAAAGACCAATCAACCAATCACAAAGCAGAGCACTGTCAACAACAACTCATAAAGAAACTGAACACAAAAGAGCAGTTAAATAAACAATAACACAAGTGAAATTCTGCACTCATAAATACACACTCTTAACAATAAGGTGCCACAAAGTGTTCCTTAAGTGATGCCACAGAAGAACCACTTTTGGTTCAGTTAAGATCCATGTCTGAAAAAGAGATGTGTGAGCTTTTAAAAGGTATATAACGTAAAGGTTCCATAACATTTTAAGTTCTTCGTAGAACCTTTCATTTGGGTCTTTAAGCTTTAAAGCGTTCTTCACACTCACAGGTGGTTCTCTCCAAAAAGCATAAATTCAAGGTTTTTAGGAAACCAAATGTGTTGTTCTAAAGTTCTCATTACTTAAGAACCCCTTTGGGCACTTCCACAAATTCGGGTATTTCCACAAAATCTAATTATAAATTTTGTTCCTGTCAAGAAATGACAGTTTTTTGCCCTCCATAATTTCAATTACATAATATACAATACATAATTCAATGTATATATTGCTGTTACTAAAACAAAAAAACAGACTTTCCAACTTCCATAGGCTGAGAATTAAAGCCCCATCATGCTGAAGCTGTGACAGAGTGTAACTTCTCAGGCTAAACTGAGTGTAACATTCCCTGTTATCAAGCTTAGACTTTTTAAAGTCATTCATTTAAATTTAATTGAACTGAATGAAAGAATTTTCTGTGAACAATGCAAGAAAATAAGAAAATAAAAAGTGTATGGATGATTAGTGGACGTTATGCTTGACACTATCAAGGATGAAGAAAACAATAAATTATCAACATTAAATAAAAGCAAAAATGACCAGCTTTTGAATTTGGCCGCTCTGAAGACTTAAGTGTGCTGTTAATGTGGGAGCAGATATACATGGTGGTATATCTGGGCAATATAACAATATATTTTCATTGCTGTGATTTTGGTATTCTGATAAAAAATGAGCTTTTCTGAGTAAATCATGGATGTTGTTAGTACTTAAAGAACACTGACGAACGACATGTTTATTACACAGAGCGTGATTAGGCCCGTTTAACTGGATTTAGTGTAGTGTGTGAAATGCTTAATACAAATCAGTCTGATGGCAGTTTTTAACAGTGCCACTACTGGGTTATTGTGACAGTGAGTCAAAATATCACGATACATTTCTTCTATCATGAAAATGGCTTTAAATATAAATATGTGGGGGTGGGGGATAGAGCAAAAACTTCATATCAAGATACTTCAGAAAGTTTTACGATACATAATGTGTCACAATATATTTTTTATTATGATATGTGATAAGATAAAAACTAAAGTACTGCCACGTTTTAAAATGATTAAGCTAGTTACTTGTACTCAACACTTTACACTGCACTGGACTTAAATAAACATGACTAATAATACTCGTGTATATATATATATATATATATATATATATATATATATATATCAAGCTTATATATTCCCCACTTGCAATAAAAGAAAATCAAACCTTATGTTAATGTGCTATGGTTGAATTTATATATTTATCCATGAAAAACACTTATTAGCAGATTCCTAATTCAAGTCAAATGGCACTTTTTCATTCTTGTATATCAGTAATTCTGATTTTAAAAACTCAAGAAAGTGAAAATCTTACTGAGCTAGTACAGTTTTACACGTAAATCAGAGTAGACGTGAAATTCTCCTCACTGCTGTAAGAGACTACAAGATGACAGAGAGCTCAGCCAAATTCAGATCTCACTGTTGATCCACGGAGATGTTTACAGTCCTGAGTGTCCATCTTCATGGCTGCTTGTTCAGCAGGAGCTCCGCAAACACAGTAACGTTACTCACCTACTAACTGCGCTGACAGCAGCAGCACTGAAGTCCACAGGATCTTCGCCATTAGCTTCACTCGGTTGAAGACAGACTCCAGAGGAGCGAGCAGGGCGCTGCAGTCTTACTCCTGCGGGTTAGTTTGAGGCGGTAACCTAATTCTGATAGTGGTTTAATAAAGCTCCCCCTCAGGCCTCCCTCCTATCGCCCCTTCTTACTCAGCTGGGACGCTTAAAGCAGCTCAAAAACACAGGTTTCACTTCCACCCGTATTCCGCCAAATCCCGCCCACGGATTAGCTGGAAGAACCCCGCTTGACGGAAAACGGGTGGGGAAAACAGAGAGCGGTAACGCTACCACCACGTCACCGACGGGCACAAACAAAAGCGCTTAAGTAGTTTACCGTACCTAGGATTAGGGTGACTCACTGTCCGTAAATGAGCAGCTCAGTCAAAATGCTAATGCTGCTAACAATGAACGAGAGTGAATGGCGACCAATTAGCCAAATATGCAAATGACTTCATGCTAATTGTGCTAGTCCATCCTCTGTTAGCCACGTTAGCATGTTTGGGCATAGTTTACCGATTTAATCGTTGATTTGACCGGTTCAAGTTATGAATTCCAGTTAATGGAAAAAAGTGAAATTAAAACAAATTGTCAGAACAACACAGTAAAACTGAACATTTACATGAAAGCTGACATTTAGCTATCAGAGAAACAGATTCTGATCTTACCAGGACAGATATACGAACAAAGCTGCAGTCACTGTCTGTTTTACTAGGTAAAGGTTTAATACAACACAGGGGGAAGGGGGTTTTAGATAACCTGCTTCGTGTTGTGCCCAAGAACCCCCTTCCCTGTTAAAAGTGCAGTAACACACAGCCTCTAGTGGCTTATTGCTTTTATAAAACTGCGGCCAACATAAAATGTGATAAAATACACAATGTTCTAGAAAATTAATTAAGTTAATAATAATAATCTACGTCAACAAGTATTCCGCCAAGATATGTAGTTCCTTAGAGTATGGTATCGTTCCCAAACGTTCAGACGCCCATCAGTGTATACTGCTGTCATTTCATGAACCTTTTAACTTTTTGTTGTATAATAATGTACATATCATACCACAGCCCTGTTTAACGCAAAAACCTTCGCTTTAGAAGGACCTTTTGGTCACCAAATTGCCACCACGAATCTTCTGCAGATCTAACGGTGCCCCTCTTCTCGGGCTGAGGCTGAATCTCAAATGGTTCCCTGCTCCCTACATAGTGCACTACATAGGAATTTATGCACTCTAACAATGCGTACTATAGCTAAAAAATAGTCATTTTGAATGATCTACTTTCATACTCGACAAACAGTGCACTATTTGGCCGTAAAAGCTAGAATTTCAAAACTTACATAGCACACTATTCAGGGATTACAGGGCCGTTTGGGACTCCACCTGGGTTTGATGCAACTTCTGACTGAAACATGGACGTTTGAAGCGGGTAAGCTGTTTAAGTGCCATTTTTTTATGACTTTTATATTTTTACAGTGAATCATATCGAAACTACTTTAAACCTTATATTAAAGTTGGAGTTGTTGTTTAGCTAGCATGTTTGCTAACTGTTAGCCTGTTAGCTAGTGGGCAAGCCTAGTTCTAGTTAAGAAAATAAGTCGTCAGCTCTTCAGTTTAAACAGAACCGGGTTCTTACTTCACCATTACACTCAGCAGTCCATGCCAGCAGCATTAAAGATTACATTAACAGTACAAGGATTTTTCGTGACATGGTGCAGTAATACAGAGTTCAGTTGGTGTGATGCGGTCATAGGTGTGCCTATATGTAGACTGTATATATCATGGATTTTTACAAACGCTTCGAAGAGTAGGGCAGATTTTCTTAACTAGTGGGCCGTAAAGCACCCTTTAGTGGTCCGCGGGACAATACTCAGTTTGTACTGGGCCAGTAATGTCACTTTAAGTCATGAAAACATAAGTGGAAAAGAGATTAACTTAAAAATTAAAGAAATAAGCGGTTTCTAATTATATAGCTTAATGTTTTGCCATTTTAGGCTTGGCCCATTTTTTGCCCAGGAGTGTACATTACATTCAGCCTTCTCAAAGAAACGTTTTGCATCATTATCATCATGCATTGTGGGTAGCCTAGCCAAGGGCAAGTGCTTAAGTTATAAGACTAAACTAAGTCTGAGCTGCTTTTCAATCCCCATACATTCTCCTTTCATACATATTATTCAATTGTGGTACATGATATACATTTGTACTTGACTCTCATAAGGAAGAACGTGTATTCCAGAGTATGGTTCAGTAGACTGAGGCTCTGGCTGAATATCAAGTGTCCCCTTTGAATGGTTGCTAGGATTTTCATTAACCCCATGTGAGGCAGCTAAACCAGAGAGACAGAATAGAGTACCTTTAGTCTCCCAAAATAGAGCAGCAAAAAAAAAGAAAAGTTGGCATATCATATGGATGGAACCAGGGGTACATAGTACTATGCAAAACAATGAGTGAACCTGTATGAGTTTTTATATGTAATTTTGATAATAGTAAAATTATGGAAGCCCATTCCTGCCACTTAGCATCATATCAAATATATTGATATGTATTTTGAAATAACACCTGATTAAAAATATATATATATTTGACTGTGGTTCTCGAAATAATGACTTATAATGTCAAAATTATTACTGATTTTCTCCAAAATTTGACTTATTTTTTCAGAAATATGACTTCTTACTACTACTATTATTACTACATACTATATTGAAATTTAATAGGCATTATTTTTTTATATTGAGATGAAAGTTTGACATACTGCTGCCATAAATAGGAAAAGAAAAGACAAAAAGGGTGATTTCCTCTCCACGGCCAGGTAGCAATGTGCTTCCATGTAAAAGAGTGGTAAATCCAAAAAAAAAAATGTTTTCTGGAGACTGTTTTGCCTTACAACAGCCTATGTGTATCTCTTCGCTGCGAATATATTTTAAAAATACATTTTAGGCAAATATCATACCACAAAAACTATCAAAACTATCATAAAAAATGTTTCAGTCATCAGGCCATGTATTCATAACCATGAGGGAGCTTTTAGAGGCATCAAACTCTTCAGACGTTTACATCTCAACCATTTCATTATTCAGATATTTAATAACTGCAGAATTCCCCTTTAAATGCACTTTTAAAGTACAACTCTTTTTCCAAAAAAGTTGGGATGCTGTGAAAAATGTAAATAAAAAGAGAATGCACATCATTTAAACCATTTAACTGAAAATTGTACAATATATCAAATGTTGAAATTGAGAAATTGTATTGTTTTTTGAAAAATATATGCCCATTTTGAATTTAATGCCAGCAACACATTTCAAAAAAGTTGGGATGGGGGCATGTTTACCACTGTGTTGCATCACCTCTTTTACCAACACTGGTTGGGAACTGAGGAAACCAATTGCTGTAGTTTTGAAAGTGTAATATTTTTCCATTCTTGCTAGATATAAAGATTTCATTTGCTCAAAAGTTCAGGGTCTCCTTTGTTGTATTTTTCATTTCACAATGTGCCAGATGTTTTCAGTGAATGACAGGTCTTGACTGCAGGCAGGACGCAGTGTCTGTGATTTTCAAAAAGAATTTAAATTTTTGATTCATCGCCTCCATCTTAAATGAGCTTGGGCTCAGAGAAGGTGGTGGCATTTCTGGATCCTGTTTATATGTGGTTTCTTCTTTGCATGATAGAGCTTTAATTTGCATTTGTGGAAGCAGCACAAACTGCGTTCACAGACAGTGATTTTCAGAAGTGTTCCTGAGCCGTTGCCGTGATTTCTTCTACAGAATCATGTCTGTTTTTAATGCAGTGCCGCCTGAGGGCCCAAAGATCATGGCCAGCTAATTCTGGTTTTCAGCCTTGTCCCTTGCATACAGAGATTTCTTCAGATTCTCTTAATTTTATAATGGTATTGTGTACTGTAGATGATGGAATCCCCAAGTTCTTTTCTATTTTATGGTGGGAACGTTATTCTTGTATTGTTGCACTATTTGTCTATGCAGTCTTTCAAACAGTGGCGAACCCCTCCTCATCTTTACTTCTGAAAGACTTCTGGAAACAGGGTTGTAGTAGAAAAAAAGTTTTATAGATGAAATCCAACAAGTGACATGGGAAAGTAAAAGGAAGCTTTGTGCTTTTGAAATAAATTCATTTGATCACTTCTACATCACCTGTGGTTTCAGTGATTGGGCATGCATGGAGTGATTTACTGGAATACTGGCCACAAAGGATGCTAATACAGCAAGTTTCCACATGTGAACTAAACTGTGCTGTTTGCAAACTTTCTGCTTGCGTTTTATAGTGAGGAGAAGCTGTGCAATGTCAAATATATATATATATATATATTATATATTATATATTATATATATATATATATATATATACAGAGAGAGAGAGAGAGAGATTTATTGATCCCGAAGGAATTTTAGCAGCCAGTAGCAGTCACACAACATAGGACAGTTATAATAATAAGGGTAATACAATATAATAATATAAAAAGAAGAATATATACAAAAAAAACCTATCTACAGGCATATATACAAATAGAAATATACAAAAATATGCTATAAGTCATGAGAAGTGAAGGCTCAAGACCAGAGGTCATTCCATAGGAATATTTATGTAAACATGAAAAAAGTGATAAGCTAAGTATATCACAAAATACAAACCTTACATGACTTACTATACATTTAGCACTGTTCATTATTTTCTTGCTATTTTCTTGATAAACTGGGATAACATAGCACTGACCTAGATAGATATTACATACAAATTCACTCACTAGCACATATATTAGCAGGTGCTATTAATACCACAGCAATGGCTTAGCAACACATTAGCAACCACCTGGGATACCATAACAACGGCCTAGAAACAATGTAAGAACCACCTGGGATATCACAACATTACCTTAGCAGCATCCTAGCAACCACCTGAAACACCATAGCAACCTGCTTGTAACACTACAGCATCCACTTGCAAAAACATATGAGCCACTTAGCAACACCCTAGCAACCACCTAAAATGCCACAGCAACAACCTAGTAGACAACGAAAAAAGAATTTCTTTAGTTCAAAATAATCCATAAACTTCAAAAACACAAAACCTTCTCAGAGTGTAAATAGCCCACTACTTTTAACCTGTCATTACTATGTAAACCTTATTATGAAGTTATCAAAACAATCCATCTACAACATCTTTAACTTAAAGTGTTATTAGCTGGCTTTGTCGAAGTTC